TGGATTCTGAGTCACTGTTGTTTTCAGGATCACTAAATTTTGTATGAACACCGGCAAAGTTCGACGAGCTTATAGCTGGAGAGCTCATATTGGAACTAATTGCTGCACCCCCACCGTTTATTTTTGTACCAAGAGTATTCTGAATGAAAGTTCTTGCAGCCTCAGCATCTTCCTTGGATGTATCTTTTGACGCTAATTTAGTTTCGAGCTCTTTATATCTCTTCATGTACAGTTTAATTCTTGTCAATTCTTTCATTATAGGATGTTGATCCGTATTTATGCCAAGGGTCTTCAAGTAGGAAAATAGTATGGAAATTAATACATATGAGTAGTTATTGTATATCTTTATGCGTTCCATTTGTGAATCTGATGCTGCTATTTTCTCTTCTAATGATTTCTTTAATATTGGTTCCAATTTTTCTGTAAGTTGGTCTACTGAATTATCCAACGACTCAACGAATAATTTCACGTTATCAATATTCTCCATGTTATATTAAAGTTACGTATTAGATACAAGTGTTATTTTATTGAAATCACTTATCCAATTTTTAATTTAGTAATGTATGTAGAAGAAGCTATCTTGTTGATAAATATTTACTGGTCTGTATTTTATTTCTTGATAAAATTTATTTATGTGCGATGCTCATTACAACATTTAAATCTTTTCAAGTTAGTAATTCATATAAATAGAATATAGCATGGCACCTGGTAGAACTAATAGAGAGATCTTAACGGGTGGTAAGAAATATGCCCAAAAGCAGGCCAAGAAGTATGGTGTTGATGAGGTAGTGTTTGATAAAGACTCCCGTCAAGAATACTTAACAGGGTTCCATAAAAGAAAATTGCAAAGACAGAAGAAGGCACAGGATTATAATAAGGAGCAAGACAGGTTAGCTAGGATAGAGGAGAGAAAGAAAATGAGAGATGAAAAGAAAAAGGACATTGAAACTCAACTTAAGAGGTTCAACGAGACAGTTAAAGAAATAACTCATTTCAACGATAGCGACGACGAAGCTAGTAATAAAGACAATGATGAAAGCGATGGAAATTGGGCAGGCTTTGGAGACGATAATGACAGCGATCAAAATAATGATGAAAATTCCATCAGTTCGGCAAATAATAAACATAATCTTCCAAAAGGAATTCTTCAGCATAAGGAAGTATACAAAGTAGACGAAGATCAGCTCTTTCCGGACTCCAACGCAATAATAGATGATGAAACTACTGTGACTGTTGAATCCATAGACAATCCTGCCGTTTCAAATGCTCAACAAGCAGATTTGGATGCAATTGCTAAAGCTAATAACGTCAACTTAAAGAAATCTGACGAAATACTAGATGAATCTATAAAGAGGGCTAAGAATTATGCTGTCTTATGTGGTGTTACTAAACCTTCAAGCAAAGATAAAGTTAAAAAGAAGAAGTTTAGATATTTGACTAAAGCTGAAAGAAGAGAAAACACCAGAAAAGAAAAATCGAAAAAGTTTAGTAATAAGAAGAAATAAGCATATTCTCCGTATATAGGTAAATACCAACATACAAAGTCCAAATCCATGTATTTCTGATTCATTTATCTGACCTTTCCATACATTAAGCCCTACGGCTGGTTTAGCGCCGGGTAACAGTTTGGTCACATCCGTGAAAAATTCGATGTGAAAAATTATTGTACTAAAGAAACTTTCTTACAGCTTTTTTTCTTCATTTTCTTTATTCAACCACACAACAAACAGTATGTATACTACCATATAGAAGAATGAGATAACATTACCGTGATGACACGCTGTCGCCCCAAACGGAGGCTCCTTTTACAGGACTATGACCGAATCGATTTTATGCCAAACACACTGAAAATTCTGAAGTGTAATAGTGTCTCAATATTTTAAAAACCAGTACTTAAGAACCATTTACTAACTATTTCCAGAAGAATGAAATTATCAACTATTACGTAGTCTTGTTCAGGATGTTCTTTTTTATAGATTTTTTTCAACTGCTTGGGTCTTATGGCTCTCTTTATCATTTTCTCTAATATTTAATCCATGAATATAGATTGTCACTCCTTCCAATAATTCTTGTATCAACATACGTTGTTGCTTCGAAGATATTCAAATCATTTGAATATCAGCTGAGTATCAAACACTGGCTTATGATGTTTCCATGCTAATCATGAATACTTCTGATTAAATCATACCTAAATCGTGAATCACTAAGTGATCACGTCTGAAGCCTAGTGTTTTGTCTTAACTGGTATTCAATTCATGTTATTGTAAATACTTCAAACATACTTCTACTGGCTGATTGGCTTACCGTAGTTCTACTTCCTTTTTTATAAGCCATTGTAGGGTTCTACGTATTCAGGTACACTAGTTGTTCCGACTTCCGGTTCAATCTTATCTGTATATCACGTGATATAGTTTTCTCGGAAATAACTGAACAAGTAAACAGAAAAGAATACGGTTGTCTTGTAATAAATTCAGCAATATTTCGTTCTATAACTACAATATGGCTAACCAGTCAGAGGCTTCTGGAGTTCATTTTAATGACTTTGTTCCATTACCTTTCAGAATATTGTTCATAATACAGTTAGGTGTCTATTTATGGTACTCAATAATATACTTGTGCACATACTGTTCACGTCTCAATATCTTAGAGTTATTGAATTTATCGTACTCAAGTCATAATTATACACAATTGGATCGTCGTTTACCAAGTACAGGAGAGTATGAAACCACCTTAGCGGCAGAACGGATTGAAAATCAACTTTTATTAAAAGGAGTTTGGACTACCCTTCGATCCATAACTCTTTACAATTTTGTAGGATACTGTTTATACTTGGTGATTCAATTGAAGTATGATGATCCTGAACAAGAAAACCAGAATGCAATAGTTTCATTCTTGTACAAGATGATTCCTGTTGTAGTGTTTTTGTACATATTTTTCAAAGTTTTCTACCAGTCTGGGTCGAAGACTACTTCCAAATCAATTGGACAATACCGTGTCTATACAACTATAAAAAGAATTTTATTGGGAAGGATTAATTCAACTACAATGAGAACTAACGATATTTTGATTTCGGATACTTTGACTTCCTACGGCAAAGTCATAAATGATTTTGGCTTATTTGTATGGACAAACTACTACACATCCGAAAGTCCATACAATATTAAACTCGAATTCATAATATTATGCATTCCTACATTTATTCGTATAAAGCAATGTTGGTATGAATACTCAAGCACCAAGAATATGCTGCATTTTTTAAACATGGTCAAGTATACCACAGCCATTGGCCCTTTAATCATTAAATTATTAATTAAAATGACCTTACAAACTTTGTCTCCTGATAATAATGAACAACTCAAAGAAAATGAAGTTTTGGTCAGATTAACCAAACTAAATGCCTGGTGGTATTTTTGCTCAGTTTTAAATTCTACATATACGTTTATTTGGGACGTAAAAATGGATTGGGGATTTGGATTATTTGATATCTTCTTTAAGTCGAACAAACTAGGAAACTACACTCTTTTAAGGCCGTCTCATCAACTCATATACGGAAACATTTTTGGGTACTATTGCGTCATATTAATTGACTTCATATTGAGGTTTCTTTGGATTTTTAGGCTTTTTATTACGAACGAAGTGGAGAATCGCTTCATGGTTAATAAATTGGGTGCTTTCTTATTTGGCTCCGATTCGTTTTCCTTAGGATATGTAGTGGTTGAAGTTCTAGAAATCTTCAGAAGATGGTTGTGGTGTTTTATCAAATTAGAGAGCGATTGGGTCAAATTGCAAGAGACCATCAACCCGGATGATATTGAAATGACAAATATAGACAAGAGAGATATATAATTATGAAATTTATTTATATAGACATAGATTTGTGTATTACTATACATTAACTCGAATATAATCATGCAAAATATAAAGATCTTAAAGATACAAATGAACATTGGTTGAATTAGACCCTCTGGTAATAACCGTGGATTCTATATTCCTTTCTCCTTAAACCCCTTTTTAATCTCCTCTTTCAACTTCTTCTTAACACATTAAATGTTGTACCCATTTATTGGTTATCAAGCCATTTTTGGGATGAAGTTCTCCAGGCTAAATCAGCCTTTGGACTAATTCTGTTTTCACTTGCCCATTGATATTTCAAAGGTGATTTGATAAGGGCATATATAATGAAAACCGAGGACATGGTACCGACTGCGGCAAAACTTAACTTAGGAGAATGAGCCATATCGAGTATAATTTGCTAATGTATCTATCTGGGTTTGTTACTTTAGTTAGTAGGTATGCTTTTAATTCAAATTTGGTTGGTCGAAAAGTACTTTTGGTAAACCCACGACCATATATTCACGATCACGTGATATATGATTTTATGGATGGGCATCTTAGTGATTGGGATTTGAATGGCTATTTGGTAGAGTAGAGGTTAGGTGTTAAGGTTTATTCTTAGTACTGTAATGTTGTTATATTTAGGGCACTTGTCAAAAAATGATGAATTTATATTTGACGAAAAGTAAATTACGATTATTCTAGTGAATTGAACTACGAAATATGAATATGAATCGAGCTACCGACCAAAATCATACTATGAATCAAACTGAAGCATTGTAGCCAATAAATGAGCAAGATTATATGTAAACGATGAATTATAAATGTAGCTCCAAGACAGAATAATCCGTTCCACCAGGAGTCCATAAAACCACCTTACAACTGCTAACCTATACACATTATCAACTTGTCTATAATGGTTTCCGTACTAAACCAGATTAATACGCTCTTGCTAACCATCACATACCGCATTGAATACCTTTCTTGTTGAAACCCATTTTGCAACTTCCCTAAGGGAAGTGAAAAATTCTGGTGTATGATTACTTAATCAGAAATTGTGGTCACATGACATATGAATTTTTTCAAAAATCTTTCCATCAACAATACTAATGAAAAGTACAGAAAAACGAATACTCTTTTCAAGATAATAGATAGATATTGATATAATGTTAAGACTGGTCTCCAGGGTAAAGATACCACACATTGCATTAGGTCGCCGCGTTCTTACGTCGTCGTACCACACATCACGCATAGATAAGTCCCTTAAAACCGAATATGATTCGATTAAAGACTATGGAAGTTACAAGAATACCATATTTACGCACAGATTACCAGAATCAACAGCGCAGCAATCACCACCATTAGTTGCATTACACTCAAGATTGAATCTCCCATCATCATTTACGTTGTCAACCTTATCACAAGCCTTAAATTTGAAGAAATACGATGGATTGGCCAATAACTTTGGATTAAACACCTTGGGTAAAACCTTATTATCGTATTATGTATCAGAGCATTTGTTAGTTAAATATCCAAGATTGCCAATGCCGATCCATAATGTTGCCGTAGATTCGTACATGGGACTGACTGCGTTATTCGACATTGGAAAAATTTGGGGTATTCAGGTCGACACCACATCCAAGTTAGAAAAATACTTATCCCAAGAACCAGAATTCATGCAGTACGGGAAGTTGAGATTCGTCTCTGAAGAGTTTAAAAATGAAGTTAAGGAATCGGGAGTTTTTGAATTGTCTGAAGAAGAAATTGCTTCTATTAACAAGGAAAACAATACCTATTTATCTAAAGAGACCGAAGCATATGCATCTGCTGTTAGATCGATTATCGGTGGATTATATACTCATGCGGGTGAAGACGTCACAAAGCAATTTATTCACGATCATATCTTGTCCAGAAAATTACCTCTCGATCAAATGTTTCAATTTAGCAAACCAACCAGAGAATTGGTAAGATTGTGTGAAAAATTAAATTTCACCGATCCAGTCGAAATCAGATTAATTGCCGAAACCGGTAGATTATCAAGTCATGCTATTTACGTTGCTGGTGCCTTCAGTGGTGTTGAAAAATTGGGTGAAGGTGTTGGATCTTCTTTGCAAGAAGCCAAGACAAGAGCTGTGGTAAATGCTTTAATGTCCTATTACTTATATTCGCCAGTGTCTGAAGATGGTAGTGAAGTCAAATTACCAAGTGACAAAAACTACAAATTTGAGGGTATTGTTGGTATTGGTGATGTCGCTATCTAAGTATAAAAATTGTATATATCTGTAAATAGATTTAGTATGTCTTTTTCTTCCATTCTTTAAAGTTCTTATTTAATTACGCCATTAATAAATGCAGTATTAAAGTCATATTCATTTTTAATTTCTTACAGCTTAATTTTTGTGCATTATTGCAAAAAGCATCATATTTTGTAAAAATTCTCTATTGAATACTGTACAGATATAAAAAACTACAATACATTACAAGACTTTAAAAACTTCTTAATGTATTACCTACATGTAGATACGAAAATACCAGTTATTGTGGCATTTAGGCCACCATAACGTTACGGATGGAATGTAGTCGACTCCGATAATTATTGCAAAATTAATTTTGCATCTACGGTGATCTTCATTGCTTCTTCAAAATTTTAAAGAAAGTGTGCAAGAAACATAACATGAAGATATCCAATGATAAAGTGAATCATATTAATACCTAAAAGTTGCTCTTACGGTTTCCATGAATGATAAATTTTACCATACCATAAAGTAATTGAACTAATATAAATCTCATCGTGGTACAAAACCGAGTCAAAAAAAGATGAACTTTTTCGAATTATCAATAAATTTTGATAATTAATTTCGTACAACAACGTGAATAATATATTCTTTCTTTAACTACTTAGAATATATTCTCGAAGAAAGAACTGAAACTGAACAATGTCATCTCAAGGTAATTTAAATATCCTTATCATCGGTAACGGTGGTAGAGAACATGCAATTACTTGGAGATTAGCCCAATCATCTACGGTTAAGCAAATATATGTTGCTCCTGGTAATGGTGGTACTGCCATTAGTGATAAGGTCACTAATGTTCCTGAATTGTCAGGATCTCCAAAGCATTTCGATGGTCTACAAAAATTTGCTGTTGAACATGACATTAATTTGGTTATTCCTGGCCCTGAACAACCTTTGGTTGATGGTATTACTTCCATATTCACCAAGGTTGGTATTCCAGTTTTTGGTCCTTCAGCAAAGGCTGCATTGATGGAAGGCTCGAAAGCCTTCTCTAAGGTTTTTATGGATAAACACAATATTCCAACTGCTAGATTTAAGAATTTCACTTCATTTGAAGAAGCCAAAAAGCACGTTGAAACAATTGACTACCAAATGGTCTTAAAGGCTGATGGTATTGCTGGTGGTAAGGGTGTCTTAATCCCTGAAACCAAGGAAGAAGCTTTGGTTGGTTTAGACGAGATCATGGTTAACAAGAACTTCGGTAGTGCAGGAGATGAAATTGTTATCGAAGAATACTTGGAAGGTGATGAATTATCTATATTAACTATTAGTGATGGTTACTCTTTCTTTAATTTACCAGCCGCACAAGATCACAAGAGAATTGGCGATGGTGATAAAGGTTTGAACACTGGTGGTATGGGAGCATATGCCCCAGCTCCAATTGCTACTCCCGAAGTTTTAAGAAAAATTGATGAGCAAATTATTAAGCCTACTATTGATGGTATGAGAAAGGACGGTTTCCCAATGTGTGGTGTTCTTTTCACCGGTATTATGTTAAGTCCAACTAAAGAACCAAAGGTTTTAGAATATAATGTTAGATTTGGTGATCCAGAAACTCAAACTGTTTTACCATTGTTATCTGACGATACTGATTTAGCAGAAGTTATGTTGGCTAGTGCTGAACATAGATTAGATTCTGTTACCATTAAGACTAAGCCAGATATGTTTTCAACTACAGTTGTTATGGCGGCTGGTGGTTACCCAGATGCCTACAACAAAGGCGATGAAATTACTATAAAGGAACCATTACCAGAAGATACATTTATTTTCCATGCAGGTACTGATAAAAAGGATGGCAAGATAGTCACTTCTGGTGGCCGGGTTATCGCTTCCACCGCTATTGCATCCGATTTAAGAGAGTCCGTTGACAAGGCTTATGCCGGTGTGGAGAATGTTTCTTTTGAGAAGAAATATAACCGTAAGGATATTGCTCATAGGGCTTTTCGTGATGCGGAAAGGGTCACTAATAAGAAGGGAGTTACTTACGCTGAGGCTGGTGTCTCGGTTGATAATGGTAATCTCTTAGTGGAACAAATTAAAGCTAAGGTTAAGTCGACTGCCAGAGCTGGGGCCGATTCAGACATCGGTGGATTTGGTGGATTGTTCGACTTAAAGAAAGCCGGGTACAACGTTGATGACACTTTATTGGTTGCAGCTACTGACGGTGTCGGTACCAAATTGAGAGTTGCCCAAATCATGGACATCCACAACACCGTCGGTATTGATTTAGTTGCCATGAATGTTAACGATTTAGTCGTCCAAGGTGCTGAGCCATTGATTTTCTTGGATTATTTCGCTACAGGAAAGTTAGATATCAAGATTGCTGCTGACTTCGTGAGTGGTGTAGCCGATGGTTGTATCCAAGCTGGATGTGCTTTAGTCGGTGGTGAAACTTCCGAAATGCCAGGTATGTATGATGAAGGCCATTATGATACCAACGGTACTTCTGTTGGGGCTGTTTCCAAGTCAAGCATTTTGCCAAAATTAGACCAAATGGGTGAGGGCAATGTATTGATTGGTTTAAAGTCTGACGGGGTCCATTCAAATGGATTCTCGTTGGTTCGTCACATAATTGAATCCTCCGAAGAATTCAACTATAAGTCTATTGCACCATGGTCCAAGAGCGGAAAGACTATTGGTGAAGAACTTTTAGTTCCAACAAGGATCTATGTTAAACAATTGCTCTCCTCTTTAAATGAAGGCTTATTGCTTGGTTTGGCTCACATCACTGGGGGTGGTCTCGTTGAAAACATCCCAAGAGCATTGCCAAAAAACTTGCAAGCTAAGGTTGACTTGAGCCAATGGGAAGTTCCAGAAATTTTCAAGTGGTTCGGTAAACAAGGTAACGTTCCATTCGAAGATTTGTTGAAAACCTTCAATGTAGGTATTGGTATGGTTTTAATTACCAAGCCAGAAAACGTCGATAAAATCATCGCTAACCTTACCAAAGCAGGTGAGGACCCTGTTATTATTGGTCAATTAATAGAAAAGGCCGAGAACTCACCTGCTTGTGTTGTCGATAACGTTAATGGTTTATATTAGTGTTATTTGATAAGTTGTATAATAATTATGTTTCTTTAGTTGATAATTCATGTTGAATGAATATGACTGTAACTCCTTGTGTAATCTGATCGCAAATGCCGACTTTTTAGTGAATAAACGCAGAGAACGATTTCCACTGCACTTTTTATAACAATTTATGACCCTCTACCATGCCACCTTTTTTATGCTTTCCATTACTTCCTAATGGAATATGTCAAAGTTGTGACCATGCATGGGCCTAAGTGCTGCCTATGCCTGATTAACTGGGACGCAAATGGCTTGTTCTTCTGTAGTGGCTTGTTTGTATTGTTTATGTAATCATACTCATCGATATTCTCGACTTGGTAAACGTTTTGAACATCGAGCTATTGTTCTGAAATCGGTTGCAACGTCAATGGTGAGAATAGCAAAATTTACATTAATTGAAAAAATTTAGTATTAAATTATATTATTATGTCGATATAGGAGTATATCGAGTAGCGCATGGCATTTAGTATATAGAAATCAATCTTTCAAAAAAGTGTAAAATAGTAGACATGACATGTGCGTTCAGATTAAGCACACAAAATATGACCATTAATCTTGAAAGATTTATGTATTCTATTCTTTACATGAATGACACGAGTCATTACTCAGTTGAGAGTAGATTTACTGGAAATTAAGCATTGAGCCAGTAAAATCATTCCAATAAGCAGCAGCTGGTAAAGAATGTAAGTATGGAAGACGTGAAACATAAGAATAAAATGACAATGAAAATGAAAAACTCGAAAAACAACGAGCTTGTTATAGTATACAAAATGCAAATAAAGATAGCAAATCATTTCTAACAGTAGATTAACCGTAGTTTTGCCATATGTATGGGATCAGTGTAAGATACAGCTCTCTATTCATCCGCTAGTTCAACCTTCATTTCTTCTAAGATGTCAGTGGTTCTGAGCTGTCTTTGGTCGGCAATCATCGTGACCAATCCAAGTGCAATATCCTTCAACTCATTGTACTTCTTCAATTGCGAAATGTGCTTCTTCACTATGGCTTCTGGATCCTGGTTTGTGCTGGAATATGTTAGTATGTCTGTTTACAATTTTTTCTGCACCTCTAAAATTTACTCACTCTAACTCGCTGATGAGAGCGGAACACTGGTTTTTGATATCTTCTAACCGTTGTTCCTTTAGCACCACCCGTTGTTGGATATTCAAATCGTTATTTGTAGCTGCAGGTACTCTGGTGGCAGATGATGTGCTATTATTATTATTATTTGACGAATTATTATTCACCACTGAAGATGCTGGTGGTGATTGAGGGGCATTGCTTGGTAGATCTGTTGCAGTTACTGACTTAAACATCTTGCTAGTAACTTCTTGATGTAAATTCAACTCCAAACACAATTCCACAATATTACTATGTATAGACAAGAAGATGGATTAGTATATTATTTATATATTTTTAGGAAATGTAAGATAACGTTGATAACTTGTTACAAGTAGTATAAAAACCGTTTATGAAAAGAAAGTGTCGCTTACTTTTCGCACACAAAAACTTTTTTATAAAATGCTTTATGTAAGCATGGATGATAATAGAAGGTATATGATATCCATTTTAATAGGAAACAATTCCGATTTCAGTATGTTGAATAGAAATAATAAGACTCTATGTATATTTTGAATCTATATATTTTCATCCATTCTATTTTTAATTTCATCAAGCTTGACCTGTACTATTTTGACGATCTCTTTGATCTCCTGGTTTGAATACCGTTGTAGATTATTTTCAGGTGCTTCTTGGCTGAATATGTTAAGATCCCCATTGCTTTTATCATTGACCCACTTCCAAATGGCGACCTCGTTCTGCAATTTGGATTGTTTATTTTGGAAATGAGATTCGACCGAAGGAATAACGAAATACTTGTCATCGTTGATTTTGATTTTAGACACAACTGAGTCTTGTGAAATGATTTGTAGGTTAGAGGCGTTGAAAGGGTCTTTGGACCTGTGGTGGAAAAGATAGTTGTACACCTCGGCGAAAAAAAGAAGCCCGATGGAGAGGATAATGATTCCCGAGATAAGATCCCCGACATAGGGAATGCTGATAGTCTTTCCAACGGCTTCGATAAACAGTTGTACTTTCTCAAGGGTGGTCTTTTCTGGTTCAGGAGCCTCCTCAGTGGGAAGCTTGTGGGTAGTCTCAGACTTCTTTCTCTTTCTCTTCTTCTTATCCGACTTGGCCGCTCCGCCAGTGTCCCCAGATCTTACGATCAGATTAATCGATTCGACCATACTCTTCATGGATTCTTTTTGCCCGTCAATACTTCCCTTTTCGATGGCTGCCTTGATCCACGATCTACCGCTCCACTCGACCACCGTCAAACTATATATTCTGGTGGAATTATTCTCAGCCCAGCTAAGGAAAATTTTGGTTTTAACTTGAAAGGAGCTACCACTGGGCACATCAGGAGTAGTGGTAATTTGTTCAACAAGAATATATTTATCTGTGTTAAATTCGATCAACCTATCTTTAATTATACACTTTGTCTTTTTGGGTCCAATTGGTCCGTTTAAAGGTTTAGTATAGGTGTAGTTTCTCTCCTTAGAGTCCGTTGATAATTCAGTAATATCTTCATCGCTTATATCGTAATTCTTCTGGTTCTTCAATATCTTTATAAACTTCGAATTATCTGAACCAAACAAGATTAAAAATATAACACCTAAAGGCGCTTTGACGACGTCCTCTGATATAAATGTTTCATCAGATCCTTTGGAGTAATCTATATCAGTTGGTGCGTGTGTCATTGGTCCTACCACTGGTAGGCCATGGAAACCATCAGATGATTTATTGCCATCCGCTTGTTCTCCATTATTACCATCGTCTGGGAGATTCGAGTTGACTACTTCAATATCATCTCCAACAGTTCTGTTAGCTAGGAAATTATCTAAGGAACTAGCTTCGCTTTGAGAAACAACAATGCTAGAATCATCATCATCGGCACTATTACCATCGTTTTTAATACGCGAGCCATTAGGCAATGAGTCCTCGTCGTTTGCCATACTCTCGCCTGATTCATTTTTATCATTTTTCTTTTTATCCGTAATGCTATTAGACTCGCCACTGTCGCCTAATAATACTCCATGCCAAACATTAGTTATCAAGGCAAATGTTGAGTCTCTCGATAAGAATGTTGCAAAGACATATTTATGGTATAATGTCCTAATAATCATGCCGTTTGGAAATAATACTGCCGTGGATTTTTTCTCAATTTGAATGACTTCTTGCAATGGGATTATGATGTTTGTAACCCATCCTAGAATATTCGAATTGAAACAAATATAATGTTCTGACAAATACATCCTGCCCTGGACTAATATATCTTTTGACAAAGCGCAGCCAAATTCATCAATTAATTTTTCATTAGGAGGTATACGCTTAAATATTTGGTGAAATTCCTTATTCCTTTTTTCACCAGCAGGCCTTATTGCCGATGTATCAAGTATCTCATCCAAATCCTCTTCTGAATTGACAGATCCATTATCAACACTTTCAGAATCATTAGGATAATCATCAGAATCTTCAATATCAGTATTTTTCTTCTTAATTTCAGGAGATTTTACTCTTTCTAAGCTTGTGCCATTGCCAATATATTTTCTACGAACCGTCTTATTCTCATTATTACCACTTACAGCTAATTGATTAGATAAGGGGATTTGTCGATTAACAGTGTCTGATGACGGGGTTCTCTTTACCTCTGGTGGAATAAGGTTTTCATTCGATTGTGATAGAGTTGTCGCCTTTTTTGCAGATGGAGCATCGTCAAAATCATCTAACTTCAAATTCCCAGTTCCTAAGGTAGTTATCGGTGATTCTCTCACAGTTTCAAAATGAACATTGGAAAGCGAATGGGAATTATGATTGGGTATTTCTTCAGAATCTCTGGGGTTATCAAGATCAGTTTGCGAATCACTTTTCGATGATTTCGATTTGGATATAGAAGAAGACGAAGTATTCCTACCGAATGCTGCAGGTTTCAATAAAAAATCCAACTTATGACTGAACGATGTATTTTTCTCGTCGCCTTCATCAATTGTCAAATCTTGTGTCTTTGGTGGTTTATTATCAATTGATGAACCAATCATATTGGCTGCATTATGCGCCGCATTAAATATGGATGACAATATTCCATTGGAATCGTTGTGGGAATGATGGTTTTCCTCTGACAAGTGGGATACGCTTCTTTCATTAGTTGCTGTGGATGTTCTGGCCTCCAATTCCGAATGCTCCAGTTCATGGCTTGACGGAGTAATTTCTATGGGGATAATATTTGATGATGCTAACGATGTAGAATGTGAATGTGGAATAGATACTAATGAGTCTGCCCGGACTCTTCCCGTAGGAGTATACGAAGTTGTTCTGTTCGCTGAAGCTGATGTAGACCTAGCTCTCGAAGCTCTTGTAACAGAAGTATCCTTTCTTCTCTGTTCCTTCTTGGGAATGTCATCTTTCGACGATTTCTTGCTTCTAAGCTTGACCATAAAAATCAATGGCAGATACAGTAGTATCCTCTTATTATATTAATAGACTAGGTATTTAAGTCCGTGTTCTTTCTGAAATTTCAAACCCGCGAGCCTAGGGAATTTCAAAAAAAATCGCCGATAAGAATTATATTGCTGAAGAAAGCAAGCCTGATCATAAATAACCGATAGATTTAGATTAGAGCAGTATAATTGTACTTGAAATAGAAAGTATGAGTGTTATGATCGAATGATTTGACTCAATGTCTACAAATCTTGCATTTGGCTTTGGTAGGTTTCCGGATGCACCATATTATAGCTTTGGAGCATTCGAGTTGAAAACTGCCCTGAAGAATATTCCGTTCGCGTTATTTGCACGTACTGGCGTATTCAGACTGGCTATGAATGCATATCTGTAGGATTACGTTGGTATGTTATCTCCGTATCGTGTAATCTACAGACCATATTTATTGTTTACTTTACTGATGTTACTTCGCACATATATCGAAGAATGAATTCCCAGGGCTAACGTTAAGAACTAATCAAATCGTTAGCTACAATTGAAGCTTTTTCATGTAACATAATGTCTCAATTCAAATAATTGAATGGATAATTTTCAAGGTTTACAATCATTCATACAAGAATACGGGCCATTTAATATAGTCAATACATATTATACGGAGATAGTGTCAGAACGCTATAAGAAGAAGAACGTAATAATTTCTTATTGATCTTCATTCGTGTCAATTATTGAAGACTTCCTCAAACAATTGTTGCGAAATGGGTGCAAACAGGCCATTGCTTCCGTCAAAAGATAAAGACCATCAAAACTACCATATGAGTTAATTACATACGACATCCAGTCTCTGTCTTGCACAAAGGATTACAAGATGATCTTTTTCCAACGTTATACGCGTGCATAGTCTTATTATTATCATTATTCAATATTATTTTCATCTTCATATAGCTATAAGTATTAGAATTGACATTCGCAAATAAGCCCTAAAACCCAAAGACTGATATCACTCACCAACATCTTAAGCAACGAACGAACCTTCTAATCATACTCTATTGAAGTGCCTACTTATTAGCCCTAGTCTGGCCCATAAGTCATTTTTGTGTAATTTTGCCCCACTAATCATATGAACCTTGTTCCCTCGGTCGATGTCAATACAAAACTAATAAGGACTGTCCAACATATTTAGAGGCACTGAACAAACAAAACTACTAAGCATGCCTATCTTTTCGAGTTTAAATAGCTTTTTGAGACGCCATAAGAAGAAGTTGATAGTGACAGCAACTTTGACGTTCTCGGCATACTTTTTGGTTAATCAATTTATTATCAAAAAGTTTAAGAACTTCCAAAACTCGTTGAGACAAGAATTGTTTGTTAAGGAGCAAATAAAACGAAGATTTGTCCAAACGCAAAATGACTGCTACTTAACCATATTGGCATTACTTCCTGTGTTGACCCAGCCAATTATAAACCATTTACCTATTGAATTAATTACCCAGGCATTAAAATTGAAAAAGACCAATGCGAATCCCACACCTCAAGAGATATCCGATTCATTATTGACTACTGACAACTTAACCATGCACCAAAATACCAACGATTCTAGCGATTTATCGCACTATATGAGTTTATCGAAGACCGAATTATGGAAGTTATTGAAGATCAAGACATTGACCAGAACATTAACTTTGATGTATTCGATATCTGGCTTGTTGTTGTTAACCAGACTCCAATTGAATATATTGGCCAGAAGATCATATTTGGAAAGTGCAATCATATTAGCAGGTGGTAAGGTCAATGATACTGAGACCTCTCAGGATTATTTTATTGAACAATCTTATTTATCATTGAGTTGGTGGTTACTAAACAAGGGTTGGTTGAGAATAAGTGATTTAGTTGAAAAGGTAGTCACTGAAAAGTTTGACGCTATCAATGCTAGAACTGAGTTGTCTATTAATAAGTTCGATGACCTTTTGTGTGAAATGGTCAATGAGTTGTCTACTAACCGTAATCAAGAAATTTTGAATGCGGTTTTCCCAATCAGTTACGATAATTTGATAGAGAGTTTACTAAACACGAACCCTGAATTAATTAAAGAATTAGACATAGAAGACTCGATAATGCTCAAATTAATCAATGAGACTACATATCTAGTAAGCAACGAAGCATTTGGAGACATATTGATAAATATGGTCGACAGCTGCAAATCAACGTTAATCGAGAACTTGTTGTTAAGTTTGGATCCAGAGAATGCATACACAAATCAAGAGAAGGTGATTGATATTTCAAACATAAAACAATTTAAATTAGCAAACTTATTGGCTCAGTTAAGTATTCAATGTGGTGTCTTATGTGATAATAATAACTTAATTAACGATAATTTTAGCAACGAACTATCAGGTAATATCTACATGAGTAATTTGAATGAAATCGAGAGTTTAGATGAGTTTAGTGCCTCTATTTATTCAAATTTTGAGTAACGTTTTTTTGTATATTTATTAATACATTTAGTACCTTAATGACCTCTTCATATAATTCAACTTTCATATAGAATATTAATCATCTTGTGCTAATATTTACCAAATATATGAATAGTGTAAATGAATATACCCTTTAGTATGGTCCCGCGCACGACTCCAGAAACTAGTACATAATAGAAATATACATTATCTACTAACATTATAAATCATCGATAACACAATTTAGTTTAATATGTCACAGCCAAAAGTTATCATAATCTCCTCAGACGATGAGAAGTTCCCAGTTGATGTGAAAATCGCTGAGAAGTCGATTTTGATTAAGAAGATGATTGAAGATTTGAATCCTGACGGATTGGAAGAAGATTTCGAAATTCCAACACCAAATGTAAGATCAACTGTCTTGTCTAAGGTATTAGAGTGGTGTACCCACCATAAGAACTCTGTGTTTCCAGACGATGATGATGAAGATGCAAGAAAATCAGCCCCTGTTGATGAATGGGATAAGAATTTCTTGAAGGTTGATCAAGAAATGTTATACGAAATAATCTTGGCGGCTAACTACTTAAACATCCGTCCCCTTTTAGACTCGGGCTGCAAAATAGTTGCAGAGATGATCAGAGGTAAATCACCAGAAGAATTGAGAAGAACTTTCAATATTGTCAATGATTTCAGTCCGGAAGAAGAGGCCGCTATAAAGAGGGAGAATGAATGGGCTGAAGACCGTTAGGGTTAATTATTGTTATTATAGCGTAATATATGTTTACTTATGTTACAGCTTCTATATAGTTTTCTAATTTAATATTGTGGCTTTAGCTTTTGAATATTAATTGTAGGAATTGCGTGTTACACTGATTAAATTATTGAATTATTGAGTTATGGATAACACTCCAAACTTAGCTTATATCAAAGACTAGCAATCCATACGCTGTTTTGCTTCTCCTTTGTCCCATAGCTTGATCCATACGGTATGTCTGGTAGTAGGAATAGAAATTGGAGTTACACACTACCATCTCTATTATCGCAAAAAAATGAGTTGAACTTCTGTAGAGCGACATACTCATAAAGAAGGTTATATAATTAGTCCCGTAACTTAACTAAAAGTGTACTCACTTCATTCATGGCTCTGTCAGAAAATTTAAATGAATTTAAAGAATCACATATATCGAATTTGGCTCATTCGTCGATCGAAGAATTAACGAATTTTGAAGATGATATATCCAAAGAATTCAACTCACTTTCCAAGGAATACCTAAATTCTAGAGTCGCCAGGATTAATCACTTGATTAATTCTATAAACCACTTTATTTCTAAACTTGCGGAGGACGAAACCGAGTGGCTGGAGGTTTTTAGTACACAAACAGAGACTATCAATAATATCAAAACCAATACGGAAGATTTGATATTGTCAAGCAAGACAGGTTCCGTTAATGATATCTGCGATACTCTAGATGAATATGAAGACACGCTAAATTACTTGTTTCAAAATATAAGATCTCCGTTAAGTTTTCTCGGAAATTATAAAGTCAATATTCTGTCGAGAGCTGATGCAGCAAACAGAGCCCGCCAGTTACCGTTCGAGGGACAGTTTGACAACGTTATAAGGCCCTATGGGAATGACTTAAAAAGTATATTAGGCGAAAGTCATTATAATCATTTGTTATTGGAGTCTAATACAAGGGCAAATTCGACAATAATTTGGAAACAATACCAGAGTGACTTAGTTGCATACAAGAACAAATTAATAAATGAAACTTATGAACAACTAAACGACTTATATAAAGAATATCACAATGTGAATAAGGGAGAACTGAATAATAAAGACAAAGAACAATATTATAGATCGGTGATTTCTCCAGCCGATTTAAAACGAAGCTATGATACTGCGAATAGAGACTCGGCTGTTTCGAATAATCATGACAATTATTACGATTCGAATAATTCATATTTCAAGAAAAACAAAATAGAATTGACAAATGAAAAATATAGAATTTTATCGCAACTAGAAAGATTTGAAAGAAGCCAAGCAGCCCATGCAAATACTTCTAATATAGGTTATAAGCTAAACTCTTGTTCAGGATTGAGCGATAACGAGATTATCAATGATATACATTTGTTAAGGAATTCTATAGCAAATAAATCGATCGTTATTGAGGAGGAACCGGACCTTATCGAGCCACAGACAGACACAAATGAAGAAGACCAAGAAATAACTGAAGAATCATTGAAACAGAAGTATAAGCAATTACTTAGTATGTCATCAGATACAGTATCACAACCAAAACCTAAATCTCTCAGATCTATTTTAGCAGATTCCAGTCCGCCACTTTCTGCTACGGGTCCACCTAAATTAAACATTCCTGAATTACCACCGCTAGAAGCGTTTCCAAAACTACAAAACAAAAGTGAAGAAGTTTGAGATATATTTTATATATCGAATCAGTATATACTATTTATTCTTTCTCTAATAAAATACTTGCATTTTTCAATTCAGCTTCATTAATTGTTGAATCCAAAGAGTCAATTAACGACTTTTTCGCTTTATTAGAAACGTTCGATAAAATAAATCGATCATCTTTACTCAAACCATATTCAGCATCACTGTTTGCTACAATATACTTTAGCCATTGATAGAGTGTTAATACGGTATCTTCATCGGTGTTAAATTTATGAATGAGTCTTTTTCCATTTGGAAAACGAATCTGTATACGAGTGACAGAATTTCCAGCACTTGGTTCTTCGTGATCAATCGACTGTATGCTTGAGAACTTGTCTCCTTCTTCCTCAGGAACAGGATTATTATCGGACGCATCCATTTCGTTTGTCTCATCCACCTCAATAGCATCATCAGCGGTTGTACCACCCGTTTGATTATCAATAATAGATTGCTTCATTGCAAATTCGATTTGTTGTTCTTCAGATAAGGCATCAGGATCAAATTTAGCTTCATGGTTAATAATTGGATTATTTGAATTAGGTAATAACGAGAATTTATCTAAAAACTGATCCACTTCCTCTAGCCAGGTATCAGCTTCCGGTATCTCACCATCTGTCCATTTGAGGACTCTTTCACCAGTTAATGGATCCAAAATAGAAATATGAGGATATTTATCAATTGAGTAGAAGTTCTTATAATTTGTACCATTTGGCGAGTCATGTTGATACTGCAAAAATATAAAGTGATCACGGACAACATTCTTGATCTTCAGTTGAGACCAAAAATCTCTATTTAAAACCTGGCAGGTGAACTCGGATGAATCTTGGATATTTATTAAAATCCATTTTTTCAGGCGTCTTCCCTCAGTCTTCGCTGCATCTAAATCAATCTTAGACATTATATCAAATGGTGGTTTAAATAAGTTGGCTAGTCTTCTTTGTGTAGATGTTAATTCACTCATTCTTTCGTTTCTATTCATTCTTCTCCTTGAACGAGGTCTTTCTCTATCATTTTCAACCACTTCTCCATCACTATCTAATACCATTACTTCATCATCATCATCATCATCATCATTATCATCATCCTCGTCATTATCATCGTCGGGTAATTCTTCAAACCGATCAAAATGGAACTCATCTCCTTCATCATCATATCTTTGGTTGAAAACACCGACCCTGCCTGCGCCGAATATATCACCAGGTCTGCTAATATGAGGTGATGGCGTAAATCCCCCGCCAAAAGAATCGACCAACGTCTCATGTCTATGAATATTTGTATCTGCTTCTCTAACGTCCGAACCTTCATTTCCATACGCTTCCTGTTGAAGCCTTTGTGCCAATTCTTCATCATCTCCATGAGATGCATTCTGACCAGAAGCATTAGCTGGCGGGTTAGATTCCATGTATAGGGTTACTGCATACTCTAAATCATTATTGGTGATTTCCAAATACTGTTTGGCGGTAGATTCATCTTCGATTCCCGTAACTGCTAAAAATGTGGTAATTAGCTCATCCATTCTACGATTTTCCTCTGCTGATAATCTAATAATCTAAAACTATCTTGGATAACTGGTGGAACTTTGCTATAGACAACATAAATGGCAAAATGTCGCATTAGTTGATGATGATGCGCGACATTATTGAATAGAAGTTTTTGTTTAGAGTGGGGAGCAATTGATGATAAAACTGATTGATTCGGGTATAAGTTCTCTTTATTAGTTTGATAATAATTATTGTGATTACGGTATATTTAACGAAGTTTGATATTAAATACATTGTAATAGTTGTTGACGAAGTTTTGGTTAAGTTTTATTTGATAATTTGAACTAACCATTGTTATTTGAAGTAAGCGGCTAACCAATCTTGATTGATCAGGCCTCGAGCATATATATTACGATAGATTCCATCAAGTATACTCGGACATTAATTGATCAGAGCATATTTCATCCAATATTGTTATAGCGTAATAACCGTACTGATCTTGCATTTCCCTCCCATATTTTCATATTCCTTATAGTATAGTTTGAAATACTTTATGTTGATTTAGGATCCGTTTGAACTTTATCATATAAATCATTTGCATTTTATATATCCGAAAGCACTAATCACCATTTTTATTTTGAAATCTGTGCTAAACCTACCGGTGGATTGTTAGAGATTTTTTTGCATTAGTTGCTGTTTTTTTATTTTGGTTAATTGCATATTTACATCCCCTAGGAGGTCCAAGACTGTTTGGATTCTGTTTTAGGGTAATCGATTTTCGTCTGTTTTTATATTATCTGTTTGATACATCATTTGGTTTGGCTATTGTGATACATATTTTTTTAAGGATTTAGGGTATAACTTTCTTTGGAATGGACGAGTACGAGAAATACGACAACGGTAATCTTTTAAGAAACCGATATGAAAAAGTTGCAAATATTAGTAAAGGTTCATATGGTTTAGTTTCACTTGCCAAGGATAAAAAACTAAATGATAAACTAGTGGCGGTAAAATTTATATATCCATTGGATTATAATACAGAGGATAAGTCCAACGAGAAAGAAAAAGAAAACGGACGTGCAAGCTCGTCGCCTGCAAGATACCGTTCGGTTGTCAATGCTGAAACAGAACGTAAAAATTCAATTTTGAAGACATTGTACGAAGAGGCAGCCAAAGAAATTTCAATTCACAAGATTTTAGGAGTCCATGCTAATGTCACATCTTTATATGATTATTTTGACTCATGCCTAATATTGGAATATTGTTCCAGAGGCGATTTATACGAGGCTATCCAAAGTGGCGATGGCCCTACGACCTCTCAAGATATTAAAGATGCTTTCCTCCAGGTTTTAAGCGCGTTAGATTATTGCCATTCTAAGAATGTTTTTCATAGAGATTTAAAACCTGAGAATATTTTGATTGGTGAAGATTGGTCTATTAAGTTATGTGACTGGGGTCTTGCAACAACAACACGGAAAATCACGAATAGGAACGAATTTGATATTGGTTCGGAAAGATATATGGCACCTGAATTATTTGATGAATCCATTGACCACTATGATGCCTCAAAAATTGATTTATGGTCAATTGGAATTATTCTATTGACCCTAGTATTCCATAAAAATCCGTTTCAGGTAGCGAATTATTCAGATAAACGATTTGTTCAATTTGCTAGCAACAGAGAGGCATTATTTGATATTTTTTCTACAATGAGTGGTGAGATGTTTTCCGTGACGAGATACTGTCTTAACATTGATCCTGGTAATCGTGATTTACAGAATTTGCAGAATGAATTGACCGCATTAAAGTATTTTACAATTGACGAAGAATACTGGGCAAGTGATTATGAAGATGAGGATTTAGAGGAAGCTGATATTGATGAAAATGAGGCTGATGATGACGATGATGACGATGAATACTTTGATGATGACGTAGATGATTACTATAGTCATGAAGAAACAAAGAAAAATGTATCTGTATCACTTTCACCAACTAAATCAATACCATCAATCACGACCACTGATGTTGAAAGTAAATCAATTACTTGTTTAAAGCCTGAGACAGATTCTACGACAGAGAGCGATACCGTGAATTCCAGGGCAATTGAATTAAAAGATGAGCCGGCAATGCCACATAATCATAGAGCGGATGCATTATTATCCTCCAGTACAAATATGAAGCCAATTCCAATATCAGATGGCAATATTAAGTTTATTCGGAATACCCGTAAACCTTTTAATGTTGCCTCGTACAACCAATCGGCTATCAATAGTCATCATAAACCAAATAATAATTACAATTCGTACAATAATGGTAATGTATTTAATAACAGGTTTAATCGGGAAGATTTCTTTACTCCCAAATCTGTGTTTAATCATTATATGGACAAATATGGCGAACAAAGATTCAATACCACTGGAAAGTACCAACATCCTCATCATCAGAATAAGTATAATAATCGCAGTGACTGGAAAAAAAATGGTAATAAGCGTCGCACATGGAAAAGAAATTATAAGACAAGCAATTCAATGCAAAACAAGAATCGTAATTTTTATCATAATAATAATTATAATAATGAGAATGATAGTTATAATCACTACTATTCTAACTATAGCGATAGAAGAAAATCACATCTGTTTTATCCATCTAAATCAAGGAAAAATAATACTACAGGAGATTTACTTGCAAACTCTTTTCATGCTCTTAGTCATCAGCATAATTCTACTTCTGTTAATTCATCTACTTCAGGAAAATATATCCCTCCTTATTTAAGGTCGCCACAGTATATGAAGTCACCGGACATAGGACCTTTAGCTGAAGAAATTGACGATCTAGATTTGAATCATGATGATGATGAAGTTTTCCATTTAGATGCTGATTTCGAACTTGGAAATCCTAGAAATAATGAATCCCGAATTCCAAGCAACAAGTCATTGCAAGCGGCCAATGGTGATGCAAGTTTTAAGAAGCCGAATTTCAAAGTTCCAACTTATACAATTCCAAATGTTGCGTCTGATATTCCAGTATCTGGTCATGGTAGTTTTAGGACTAACAATTCCACATACAGTCATAAAGGTACTACATATCGGGGAAGTGGAAATAATACAAGACGTAACTCCACGATTGCACCAAATAACACAAGACCTATATCTATGGGTAGTAATGCTTTAAGTGATATTGCACCTACATTATCATCATCGTATTCAACTAGTGGCAAGTATATTCCTCCATTTAGAAGAAGTTCACATGGGCCAATTGGAATTGGGTTGTCACACAATCCGCATGCTATCAATGGAAAGTTCAAGAATCATTATGTTCCTAATATTCAAGATAAGCGAAAGATTCCAGGCGATGAAAAGAATCCAAATAATATTCTAATCCAAGTGAATGAAAACAGAATTGGCTCGTCTTCTGTACCCTCTGATAAAACAGATTGGTTTTTGTCGAGAAAGGAGTAGAATGGGTATTGAATTTACATTAGTGCCTTTTCACAAGTTTTTTTTTTACGTTTTACTTATGAAATATATGGGTTCAATTTGAATTTTTTATGTTATGTTTTTATGTATACATTCTTACGATTTACGAAATATTTTACCGTTATATATTTGACTGTATTGGATTAAACAAAACTAGATATCGCAAACCATCCTTTTAAGGGCGTCAAGTGAAGGGATAGTTCTATCGCTTATTAAACCTTCAGTTTTCCTGCTTTTCATAATTACCATAGCATCCTCAGCACCATACCGCTTAGTTAATTTTGAATAAAAGAGCCCGCAAGCGTTGCATAATGTTCGAGAGCCGTCAGGGCCACGTCTCCATTCGGGTGTTTCGATAGACTCACAATGGTTACATTTGATCCTCTGTTTTTTCATGTTATGGAATTTTGTTCTCGGTTTACGGACTTTTTGGTTGTTTGATCCCCTTGACAAGTGTATCTTACTTTTAGTAGGGGGTGATTCAGTGAGTTCCCGGTCCTCATAGTCACCTTCCCCATTATTATTGTTTACACATCTACTATTGGTTCCCATATGTCGATTATTTGGTGAGTCCCACTCCTTCTTGTACAGCCATTTCTCTTGTTCTTTGTGTTCTCTAGTCTCTATTTCATTTTCAAGTTTGTAGTTGTATTTCATAATTTTCAATTCATGTAGAATCAGGGAAAACTTTTCAAGACTAGTAGAAATATTGTTGTATAATACATCAGGTATATCGATAACCCATTTTTTAAACTCATCTCTCGTGATTGCAAACTCGTTTCTCTGAAGATCTTGACAAAACAAGATTTCGGTTGACAGATTCTTCGATCCTTTGAGTCTGCCTCTCAGCAAGTTCGCATTCATTTCACTAAAACAATCGTCCAATGTGGCATGGCCAGGCAAGAACCAAGTTAAAAACGAAAGAATATCTTCTTCTTTTTTCTTGACTGAATGAGGCGAATTGTAGTACTGGCTTCCACTAACCTTGGCCAATGTATCGAACTGCAGTCTCTCTCTTTTATCATTCAAAAACGGAGTCAGTCCCACGCTGAGCAGTCTACTGCTTCTCATCCCACCTTCGTCTATAACAGAAGAAACATATGACAGTTGTCGTGATTTATTACTTTCAACTAGCCGAGGTGAATACGAATAATGACTGGGCTGCATCTGCAGCACCCCAGAATAATTCCTGATTCCTCTTAGCAATTCTTTGAAAGGTGGTAAGCTATTGTTTGTTAGTATCTCTATCTTCAACTAATTTCGTTTTTTCGACATACCTGCCAATTCGTGGCGACATATATTCGTCTCTTATCATCGAAGACGATGACGAAAGGCATAAATCTACAGTCTGCATTGTTGTTCTTGATATAGTACATTACGGAAAATCATAAAATCTACAAATCCCCTTATATATGTTTATTTACTAGCATACTATTATTAAATTAGCATTTCGGATGCTTATAGACATTTCAACATAATAAAAAACCTCCTCGATTGCTGCAAAATCTGGACTGCGTATTAATGCAACCACATTCTAGATTTGAAATGAGGGGTTTGTGTAATGTTTCAAATTCTGAATCTGAAACATATCTTGAAATATCTGATAAATATTTATAAGACTGTGGTTTCAGTACTGAATTATAAAACTTTTCGATAACCAGTTCTTACAAAGCTTTAGAAGCCAATTCTATATCCATTGAATAGGTAATAAGGTCTGTTATTGTTTTAGCATTGTTGTAAGTGATTATTGAAGCTAACGGAGAAATCTTCCACTAAAGAGACCTCCTGACATTATTCTAGTGTGGTATTTTCCCCGAGGTAACCACTTTTTATATATCAGGAATATATTGTGAAATTAGCTGCTAAGCATCGAATAGAGTTGTTAAGTTGTTCTAAAAAGCTGAATAACGTCCATTCTTTTTCCAATTCCATATTGATCTGCTGTCCAGAGTAGGTATAGTTTTGCACCTAAGCGAGAGCACCGAGAAGTATGACACCGAAAGCAAAGAATACTAGTGTCAAGATAGAAACGAATGATAGTGAGCTTGAGCCCAATGAAGATGTTAAAGAGTCATTGAGGCTAATTGAAGACTTGAAGTTCTTTTTGGCAACGGCACCAGCCAACTGGCAAGAAAACCAAGTGATTAGACGGTACTACCTTAATCATGACGAAGGATTTGTGAGTTGTATATTTTGGAATAACCTTTATTTCATAACTGGGACAGACATTGTCCGGTGCATTGTGTACAAGTTCCAACATTTTGGAAGAAAGATAACCGACAGAAAGAAGTTCGAAGAAGGTATCTTCTCAGACTTGAGAAACTTGAAATGTGGAGTTGATGCTGTTTTGGAGTCGCCTAAGTCTGAGTTTTTGGAGTTTTTATATAAGAATTCATGTTTAAGGACTCAGAAGAAACAGAAAGTCTTCTTCTGGTTTAATGTTCCTCATGATAAGCTTATGGCCGATGCCTTAGAAAGAGATATAAAGAAAGAAAAAATGGGCCAGAATCCAACCACAGAAGCCCATAAAGAACCTGCTTTGTCATTCAAGTACGACGAGGATAAGTTTTTATTTACTCAACTCACGGAGCATATAGAACTTCAAAAGAGTCTCAACGAATCTGCAGGTGATAGTACTTCTACTGCTGAAGATAATTCCTTTGAGTACTCAGGTACGGATGTGGACAAAGATGACTTTGGGTTCCTTAACCAAGACACCCCAGCACAATACAGAGCACAATCAGATTATGAAGATGATTTTCCGCTCGATTATTTTCATCCTAATGACGATACCTACAAAGATAATGATTATATAAAACTAGATATAAATCCCCGTCTGCAGTTTGCAAATACGATTGAGGAGAACCATGATGGCTTATTTGAACCTCTACCTTCTTCGTATGTCATTCCAACACCATCGGCCAATCAATTGGTTCATACTGATGAATATTTGATTGAACAAACACAACCATTAAAGACCCCCATCCCTCCACTATCTTCTACCGGGTATTTACCAAAATCTGCTAAATTTCTGACTACACGAGTACCATCATCTAATGATGAATTTTTTCCGCAAACTTATCAACTACCATCGTTTTCAACTAAATTTCAGACACCCTTACCAAGACCCATGCCAAGTCTGTTTTACAATGATTCAATAATTATACCTCAACCTCAACACCTGAGTGGTGTGTATCATCCTGATTATAATTATATGCATCCCGAACCTGAGTATTGGCCAAACCCTATTTATGAACAAGTGATGCCATATCATAATCAACAACCTGGCTATATGTTCCAGAACGATGAAGTTAATGACCCTTATCAAGCAATGAACCCGGCTATGATAAACGTAGTCCCCTCCAACATCAATTCACGCTCAATGAATCCGGCAAATTTTGCCTCAGCATCTTCAAGACAACTAGCAATTTCCGCAAATATGATGAAGAAGAAATCACAAATGTATCAACAACAGCAACGTGATATGCCTACCAGATTGTCTAATAATCCCATATCAAAGTCGTCCGAAAAACGTAAGATCAATACTGATCTGCATTTAAAGAATATTATGTCGTCCAAGTCAACGAGAGTAGTTAATTTTAAAAAAGATGTTGAAGACAAAGGGTCTGATAATGAAAACTTTATACCAACTCCCGAGTCATCCATCACGCATTCAGAACAAAGCCAAGCTAGTCAGAATGCAAATGAAAACTAGGTGTTAGTATACTACGGCGTTAGTGTTTAAATTTTATAGCATGAAATTTAATTCTTGTTTACAGTATGTTTTATTTATGATTTGTTTATTGATTAGGCTGATATTATATATATCAAATATAAGCTAATTAAATTTTATGATTGGCTGTAGTATTCGATTAGCTTTTTCTGTGGGATGGATAACCTTTTCAAGATATCATCCATCACAGAATATTCAGACCGAATATCTTCATTCGTTTCAATGCTACTGGAAACTCTTGATGCCTTCAACAATTTGCCATAACTCAGAATTACACATCTTCTTATCTCAACCTCTTCATCATTCATGAATCCATTAAGCACGTTATCAATACGCACAATCAAGTTCTCATCTATTAGCAAGGAAACTGCGTTAGTACTAAGTATCTTAGAAAGACATTCCAAAATGAATGGCAATGAAAAGAACTCTCTTTCCAAGACTGCATTCTCTAATGTTGTAAGGATTCTTGCAAAAATAACTTCGCTGCTGAAAAGCCCAGCTAGCATCTCATCAAAGGCTTCACTTATGGCTAGAGATAATTCATCTTTGGAACTACTGGACTCAGAACTCAATCCTACAAGTAAGTTCCACAATCTATCCAAACTCACACGCAATCTATTAATAAGTAGTTGCTTTAATAATATTAGACCACTTAATTTCTTTGAAACAGGAAGATTAATATGACTATCAAAGAAATTCCATAAAGAACTCTCAATTAACGAATGACCCAGAGATTGGAAATATCTCGAAAACTCAGCATTAGAAATTTGTATATTTTGCAAATAGTTTAAGACCGATACAAACTCTTTCCCTTCAATTTTCTTGGAACTCAAATTATCGCAAAGAGATTTAAAGTCTTCGATACAATAATCTATTTCCTGGTTATCTTCTTTATCCATAGCTAGTTTAGCCAACTGAAAATTAAACCAATTTAGCTCGGTATAACTATAGTCTTTTACTTTTTGTGGGGAACCCTTGAAGTTTACATCCTCATAAATGCTAATTGGTTTATTTTTGAGTGAAAGTTTGTTTAACGGATCAACCTTGTCGATAAAATTTTTGATGGGATCACTGTTACGTAGCCTATGTTTGGATAGTTCTGTTATCTTTACTTGCGCAAAGTTTTCCACCAACTCTGATGAATTATCATTCTGAGCAAATTTGGTGAATAAATCTGGTTTCCGAGAGGCTGAATCCGAGTCTACTTCAACAAAAATATTATCAGATTCATCAATCAACTTCAAGCTATCCAGCATGTTATTTGGCGTTTTCTCTTTTACTTTATTATCGTCACTATGCATTTCTAAGTCATTTTTCAATCCGTTGAAAATTTCATCATTTGGATTTTGGTCAACATCCATTGCATCATTAACTTCATCCCCAACACTATCTGCATTACTTCCATCTGTTTCGATTATGGTATTTGATTCTGAATGAACTGGACTTGTATGACTGTCACCTATTTTTGGTGGAGTTCGGAAGCCTGTATCATTAGCAGATTCGCTTGGAACTTTGCCATCAATATCAAGATTATCATCTTCAATAAGTTCCTTTTCAACTGGTACAACCATTGTTAAATCAGATGGTGCTTTGAGAGGTGACATTCTCCCCAAATTATTTCCAGGTATAACTCTAGTTAGTTCGTATTGTGTTGTAAAATTGTTAGCGTGTCCTTGATTAAGATCTAAAACATCGTCAATCCCAACCACATATTCAACTTCTTCCCTGGTGGAAGTTGCTATCATTTGCAATTCTGAAGTAAATAAAGTAGGATTTATAGAATATAATTTGATTAACAATTCACAAAATGATTTATAAAGTCCAGTGGACTTCACAAGGCTTACCAATTCAAACAAATTAGTAACGAGTTTCAGGAAATGACTATCACTTATTGGTATTTTATCTAAACCTTGGTTTAAGAATTCGATAATCAGTCGAACAATAATCGATTTGAATCTAATAATTTGCATCGTCAAATCACTGTCGTCAATAATATTACCTAAATTTGTGGTGTAGGAGATTAATTTAATAGCCGAGTCATATATATCATCCACAGATGCAATTGATACAATCAAATTCACTAGTCGTATGTCAGTTGGATGGATCAAAATACAACAAACCCGGAAAAAGTCTTCGTACAGAAAAAACTGATAAGTCTTTTTAAATAAATTATCAGTACTCAAAAATAGAGGTTTCAACAAGTCTTGGTTTCTCACCGATATCTTTCTCAATAAGCCATTTACTTCAGAAGATAAATCTTCTTCACCCATAATTGCATACTTTAATAAGTTTATTCCTTCAGCGATGAAGTCTTTTTGATTGGAAGACAAAAACTTTAAAATAGGGTCGCTTTGCTTATCAAAAGATTCAAATTTGTTAGTTTGTCCCATATTTGTCCGACTCGAAGAGTTACCATCAACGGTATACGTGCTCATTGTCTCACTATTTTGTGTCTGAACATCTGCATTCATACCTTGGGAGTCAATGTATTTTTTAGCAGTTGAATTTACTGAATCAGAAACTTTCCTGGTTATCGCATCATGATTCGACTCTACTCTCGAAAGCGAGGATGTAGACGGAGTTCTTTTGGCAACTCCTAATCTACTAAACTTTCCAGACTCTAATGTAGGGAATTGTGGCTTTTCATGCTTCTGTAAATAATCATTATCAGGAGGACAAGGAGACGATGTTGAATTAATCCTTGAAGATGGCCTAGAAAGAGAAGTTTGATCTTTTTGCTTTCTCAATTCTTTGTTTCTAGCAATAATTGATTCCTTTATCGAAGGTCTTGCTTTTCTTGCCGTTAGTGAGGATAAGGTTGATGGTTGATTTCTTGATGTAATGGTCCTGGGTTTAGATCTCTCAATAGCCTTGACAACATTAGTATCTAATCTTGTCAATAAAGACTCCGCTTCAGATGGAAATTTATCCCAGAAGCACCAATAGGTGTCCTTAGCAACTTGTCTCACATTGGGATTTGGATCTGCTAAAAGTTTGGTCAAAATCTTAATGCTAGTATCTATACCTGAAATAGAATTGGACCCATGGTGGGAGAAGCTTGAGGCATCATGGAACCTGACCAATATTATTTGTAGCCAAACACCGCTGTAAGAGCGGGGTTGAATGTTTTTTTCATTTGCTGACACCAAAATTTTATGAAGTAATCTATAATTATAAGGTACATTTATAAAGATTGCACATAATGCCATGTTTGCATTTGAAGAAGCAATATGTTTTGTTGCCGAACATAATTTCATCAAATGTGGAACATACGAATCCACTAATGGATCAAAGTGTTCCTTTAAAATTATTGCACATTCCTTAAGGAAATGACAACCATGAGAAGATAATGTGGTGCGTAGCGATGTAACTGCCTTGCAAATACTTTCTGACGACTCTTTTAGATATGAAGTAAGTTCATTAGTAAATAGCCTACTAGAATTTCCTCTTATAATAGACCTTAATTTGACAATGTTTTTTTCTCTCACCCCCCAGTTAAATTCAGTTTCTTTACCTTCAAAAGTTGGAAGTAATTCATTTATAGTTCCACAAAGATCATCCACATCTTTTACGTCAAGCGGTAGAATAGACGAGTCAATCTTATACGTAAAAGTCTTCGCAATTATTTTTTCAATTTCGGGACTTATTTCAGAGTTTATTTCATTAGAATTATCATTAGTCATAGCCACTGGCTTAGCTGGTGCCGACATTTGGCTGGTGTTATATTTGTTGAATGCAGGGTTTTGTACTGAAGGCTTTGTTATCTGTTCGTCGTCTTGGGAGGGCAGTATAGACTTTGTATAATTGTGGAAATTGGTCCTCGATTTTGGTCTTGACATCGTGGACGACGATAATGATGCTGGTGTCAGAGAGTTACTCAGAATGGTACCTTTATCTCTTCCCATCGGGTTTACCGTAACACGAGTAGTACCAGCCAGGATAAAGTTATGATCAAGACCTATGTCTGGAGTAGCCAGCTTCATTAAATTAGACGAGCTGGTACCAATTTGACTTATTATGGATTCATGCACATTAGAAGGAATCTTCTGAATATCGAATTCTTTAGATAAGTCGAATTTATACAACCTATTGTGTTTTAAACTGTAATAGTCTTTAAACAAAGTTTTGATATTCTCTATCAAGGCTTCGTCACTATCAATGTAGAGACGCAAAAGTTTAACAATATGCGGAAGAAATAGATTTATTTTGAAATGTGGATTAACGTTGGTTATTATGTGGTCAAGCCAGACAATCGACTCGTTTATCACCTTCAGATTCTTGTGACTAAAAGCAATCTCTATTATCGATTCCTCTACTTCCTTAGGTGCCGAAAACCAGTATGCTTCTAACGCTTTCTTTGCGGAACTTCTTGCGTTTGCCTTAATATCACCTAGTCTATTGATTATTATCGGTAAAACTAAGTAACTCTGACTCTTCAACACTTCCCCGCTAGAATCTTGCATGCTTACTCTCTTCACCAAATATGACAATACACTAAAGCTGCTTGTCAGGATTCCAGAGTCTGATATATCTACTGCTATCGATAATGCTTCAATATATTTTGGGACCTGTTTAATATCAACAAAATCTTTCTTTACGTGCGTTTTAAGTTCATTAATAGATCTCAGTTTGGCATCATTATCACTTGTGGGTGACGCAACTATTTGGTACAACCGACTAGCAGATATTACCTGTGACAGCATATCTATAATTGGGGTATTATTATTCCTAACCTACCTGCTGATAGCTATAATATATTACTAATGAAGTTATATATTTACCTATTTCTAGATCTAACAAAGCGCGTAAAACATGAATGAAAACAAACGATTTTTGTGTAACATGAATCTCATCATCATAATCAGTTTCGTAGCAGTCTTTATGTCTATGGGGAATAACCATTAGGTTATACAAAGGTAAGGTTACAGGAAAATTGTAGAAAGTTGTGTCATTCCTGCTTTGGCGCTTAGAAATGATGAAATAAATCTTTTACTGTCCGAAGTATCAATGTATAATTATACTGAACGTATACATATTCCTATCTAACTTTTTGGAGCTACGACCCAAAAGCCGATTAACACAACCGATGTGAATAGACCTAATGCTTGAATTTTATTCTTGGAATTTTTACCTAGAGTTTTTGACTCTTCATCATAACTAAAATCAACCTTCTTTACCATGTGAAGTGTATTGGACTTGGTCTTATTCTCTCTACAAAGAAGGTTGCCATTTTCGTCGTAATTTGCTGTGTATAATATGTCATCTTCTACTTCATCGACCACCACATTTTGGACATTTCCGAAAAAGTCTGTCAAAAGTACATCATTGACGTCCCTCTTGAATAGGTCGGTTCTTATTCCAGGCGTGGAGTGTATGTTTTCAAAGGTATATTCATCGAACAATTTATCCATAGTGGCCGTGGAGTTTTTCTCTATTTTTTCGAGGAAATCCAACGTATAATACGTGAACCTATCGATGACTGCAACCCCGATATCAAGATCGGAATGGTGAGAATACGATGACTCGTCAACTTTTGAGGAACCAACCGCCAAGATATTAGGTGAATAAAACCTTTCATACATCGAATTTGCTTGACATGTATCAATCATGAAGAATATTTCGTTGTATCTTTTCTTCTCGTGCATTTGTTCAAAAGCATCTGCTATATCATACGATCCAATTTCTTCTGCATCCTGGAATTTCAAGAATTCATTACCGCCGTGTCCTGTTAAATAAATAAATATATTAGAGTTTTCATCCGTAAGCAAACGTTTAGATCTAGGATGGTTTTCGTCCCACCTATCAGTTAACAACCGTACAAAGTTTTCTACTGTAACCTCATATCCTCTGTAATCCACTTCTATCAGATTGCCGTATAAATCAAAACCTTGATCTTGATTGTTGAAAACGGTTCCCGGGAATGCATTACGTGGATTACATGCAATATCATCAGATAACATTAAAATAATTTGGGAATCTGGGATACCAAGTCTCTTGACAGTTCTATACATACTTAACACGTTGGCCATATGTCTGTAGTTGAACCAAAATCGTGATGTCGAGACTAAAACTGCCCAGTTATTGGTATGACGTGAATCGCTAGCTTTGATTATATTCTCTGCTTCATCATTTGTAACAACATGTTGATCAGCTAAAGCTCCCCCTATTACCGTAAAGCAAAACAACAAGTTTACCAACCCACCGATTGTGATCTTCATTGCTAGTGACTATAATCTTTGCTTATTACTAAATATGCTGATTTTCATATTCAAGCTTAACCGATGGTCACATGATCATCCCACTATGAGTCTCCATAGTATCTACATCAAATGCAATATACCTTTGGGAACACGTAGTATAAGGTTCTATGTATATTAAGTCTATATCTATGATTATATAATGCCTGATGGGCTGGTAGATTCTGATTCATGGTCTAGAATATGATGGGAGCTACCGCCATTTACAATTTTTTTAAGAGAATTTTGGGACTTTTTATCTGGTCCTAACAACTTTTGGAGTTCCCATTTCACCCAAAGAGCCAGCAGAGAATATTTAAGGGCGAATATTAAATTGGATGCTCTTTCTTTTGTAAATTTTTTCAAACCATGGTTTAATTCCTGTTGTAAATGTGGGGTGAACTCGTAACTCAGCTTAGCTCGTTTAGATAATTTAGTACTAAGAAAAGTGTGTTGCTTATCAGAAACGGTGGAAGAGTTATTAAAATTCTTGAAGAAGCTCTTTTCGAATTGAGAATTTAAAGTTTCAGCCTTCGCTAATATGGATTGCAAATTCAGATCCACCATTATCTCCGATATAAGAGTTATCTTCCCACATTTATATTGACTGGCGATACGCTGTTGATGAGAAGTAAACTTGTTCAATGTTAAACGAAAATATACCCCATCATCCTTCCTCGATTGATAGCACTTTTTAACAAGAAAAAAATCATTGTTGCCAAGTTGATGGCCCCACATATCAAAAGCTAATTTGACCCAACTAAGGCGATTGGATCTAAATTTGGCATGTATATTTTTACTAGTTTGATATTCATTAGCATCATGGGCTTCCAATGCCATAAAACCATCAAATGTCTTGAATTTTAGATTTACCTTTTCACTTCTCTCCTTTAACTCGTTCATTTTATTATGTGTTGCAATTTCTTCAAGACGACAGTTTCTTTCTCTTTCTAACATTTCTTGCTTTTTTAAGCATTCAATCTCTTCATCATACTCCTCCTTTTCCTTTACTAACTCTTCATATGATTTACCGTGTATAAGGTAATCAGGTGGTAAAGAGAATAAAGTAGGAACTGACTGAATTCCAGTACCACGAGTTCCAGCAATATCAACCACATGACAGTGTGTTTTCGATTTATGTAATCTTAATCCTCTACCAATCATCTGAACTAACAATGGTCTCGACTTCGTTGGTCTTGCCAAAAATAGAGAATCAATATTTGGTATATCAGTACCTTCAGTAAAAACTTGAACATTACATAAAACCTCAATTATGCCATTTTTGAAATCTTCAATTATAGCCTGTCTTTCATGCTTGGCAGTTTCTCCTGTTACATATTGTGCATTTATTCCTTCCCGTTGAAAGACACCACAAAGTGTTTTACAGTGACTAATATCAACACAAAATATCAAAGTTGATTTAAAATTGAATTCTTTCTGTAGCTGTGAGTAAGATAGAGCTACCAAAAGATTAACTTCGGAATCATTCATAGCCTGTGACAAACTATTTATTTCATAATCATTCTTCCTTGTTGCAACTTTTGTTAAATCAACGTCTACGTCAATAGAGGAAAACCTTACGTCAGCTAATTCCTTATTCTGCACCATTTCTAACAAATTTCTTTCAAAGACAATTTCATCGAAGATTTCTGCTAACGATTTTCCATCACTTCTTTCCATAGTAGCCGTAAACCCTATAACATATATCTGCAGTTGCTGTGAATTTGCCTCAAAATACTGTAGTATCTTCGACCAAGAATTTGCTGGAGCATGGTGGCATTCGTCTAGTATTATTGTTTTAAACTCCTTTGGATCATATTTGGATAGCCGACTCATTCTGATTAATGTAGGAACAGATGCCACAATAACGTCAGCATTAGAAGAGGGCTTGAGTTTCCTCATGTCAATGTCAACCTTTAAATTAGGATTTATCTCAGCAATGGAATCAGCTGCCTGTCTGACTAACTCTTCCTTGTGGGCAAGTACTAATGTTTTGTTGCCTCTCTCGGGTGTTGATGGCTTTATCTGAGGAATTAAATGGGAAAATACAACTGTTTTTCCACCGCCTGTTGCTAATACTACTGCCGAACGATTTACACCTCTTGATATGGCATTATGAACTGAATTTATGGCTTCAACTTGATAATCACGTAACTTAAGTGGGATTCTTCGTACAACTGATAAACTGAAAAGTCTTACACTCTTGATAGAATCAGAAACATTTAACGACCAAAGTCTAGTTCTTGGGGTAATTGCATTTAGCATTGAATGTCATTAGATAGAATTAGATTCCAATCAACCTTTGTAGTTTATCAATTCGAACTATTTACGCATTTCTTTTCATCGAATGTACGCAACAATTATGACTACAGGAAATTACAATGGGTGCTAAAACTGATTTTATTACTTAAGCCTTATAAATATCAACTCTTGTTCTTTGATGAACATTGTGATAGTAAAGATCTTCTGATGAATCTACCTTCTCGACATTATTGTCGGAATTTTCTGATGTATCTGGAGATTTAATATTAAGAATAGCATAACTACCGTCTTCTTTTGTTGGATCTCTATTACCTCTGATAAAAGAACCGGGATTTATGACTATAACACCTTTAATAACCTTAACAAAGAATTTCAATTCTGAAGGAATGACAAGTATATCCGGTAACGAATCGCCTAACTCTGTTAATCCCAAGTAAGGCACTTCCAAAGATGAGCCTCCAATTCCTGTATCTGCAAGCTCTTCTCCCATGAGGCCTTCATGTAACAACGTTGTCGAATCAACATTGTCTTTGGAAACCATATTTTTTTTCATAGACCCCGGGAATACAGGGTAGTATCTTCTTTGCTCAAATACATGGTTTGCAATTCTCTCAAATCTGTTATTAAAGAACTTGCTGTTTCCATCAGTCACTCCTTTGAAAACATCTTTTAAATCCTTGAAGATATCTAGATTAGAACAACCAATCAATACTTCGTTGATGGAAAAACTGGATGGATTTGGAAATATCTTGACATTTTTTGGGAAACCAAACTTTTTCTTGTCAAAAGAGTCCTGTGGATACGAGCAATGTTTAATTGAAGCGTCTTTCAAGGATGGAATCATTACTACTTGTATTCTAGGATTGATTTTTCTTATTATAGGTGTAATACACTTTCTGAATACCTCATCCAAATCTTTAGGTTGTTGTTTTTCGTCAGGAAGTTCAATATCACCTTTGCTAACAGATACGTTTGTGATATCAATAAAGGGTCCGAACAAAATAACTAAATGTGGTTTAATTTCTGTGTTTATTCTATCCACTAAAGAATTTAACCTCTCATAATCCAATGAGTGTTGATTGGAATATGGTCCAGATGCAACAAACAATTTTAAACCCGAATCATTAGTCATTTTTTTATATTCATCAAGATCTTGTCCATTTGAAAGAGGAGCACCCAATTCGGGTAATGGAAGGACTTCTTGAACAATGAACGATTGACCCGTTGGATTTCTTCCTTTCAAACATACTATCTGACCTGGAAAAAATGTATACTCTTCCAATTGATTCAAATTCAATGGTATCCTCTGCCCTATTCCTGTTAATCTAGAAGTTTCCAAATATAATGTAGTAGCATTCAATGCTTGATTTCCTGATTTATCGTACAAAGGAGAGTCTGGAACAATTCTACCACAGCAAAGAATGTCAAATTGTGAACATAAACATGGATTACCGAAATGTATGTCGGTGTTTTCTTGATTCTCTTGAAATAACTGAGTCATAGAGTCAATTTGATCGTCCAATACATCCGCACTTTCTAATAGCTTCATAGACATAGTACGGTATTTGAATTTAGATGCATCAAAGTTAGATGCTAATCTATAAGGCTTTATAACAGTAGAAAGATCTTCATCAAGCTGCATATATCCTGGTAATTCTTCAATATCTGGATTTAACGTTTCTATGACTGTGTTTGATTCTTCATTCTTTAACAGCTTGTTGAATAGCGGAGTAGGTGAACTCTGCAAATTATCGTTAACTTCTGGGATTGGAGATTGAAAGGTATTGTTTGCAGTGGCATAGTTTACGGGAGATGATTCCATTTTAAGTTGTGGAGTTTTAAATGAAGGTGTTTCTTCTACAACTTTTCTTTTCTTTAAGCTTGGGGTACTAGGCATACCATTGGCTGGACTTGAACTATTGATATCAGCACTGGATCTTATTATCGGTTTTCTTCTCATAGTGCTTGATTGCAAATCTTTAACTTTCCTGATTGATGGTGTAGCCTTGCTTGAAGCATTCACTAAAGTTGATTGTAGATGCTCTTGAAATAAGTCAAGATTAGGAAGTGTTAAATCCAAATCATTTTGAACTTTTGTTACATTAAATGATTCCCAATGAACAAATAAGTCTTCTGAGCTCAAGTTGAAAATTTGCATCAAGGTAGATAATTTCTCAATTACATCGTCATTAAAGTCCTCAGTAGGGCCGAACGCTCCCGTTAGTTCTTTCCTAACACCTAGATCAACAGTCATAGTCTCAATCGTATGGATAATTTCTGGATTCAAGATATTTTCAGAATATACTTGATATTTTGGACGCGTTTGGTACTTTTTTATACTGCGCGTACATACAAAAACTTGATGCTTGATTATACACATAGTAAGTTAATCTCTATAATAAATACATGAATAAAACATCTAAAATATAATTAGGAAAGGACTATACACGGAAAATTTTGTAGTACAATTTTAATATTTCAAAGAGCATAATTAGCTTGTGGCAATATGTTTTTTTAATTTTCTGCTTCATTTTTCTTGTCTTCTGGGGCTTCAGATTTCTTTTCTTCATCATTTGTAGACTTAGATGGAACGGATTCAGCATTTTCAGAATCATTCGAAGGTTCTTCAACTACTCTGGAGATATTTGCAGATTCCTCATCATTTGAATCTTCTTGTCCCTTAGATGGACGTCTGTTGTTTTTCTTGCCCTTGAAACCTTTGCCAAACTTTTTATTACCCCTGGAGTCATTGAAACTGTTACGTCTCTTTGTGACTTCATTGACACCAAATCTTTTACTGCTTTCTCTCATTTCTTGGAATGTTAAAAGTGACATCTTTCTCAAAACAGACTTTTCACCAACATCAGCTGAGTCCTTAGCAACAATTCCTTGAGGGTAGCTGACTTCTATTTCCTTCAAGAAATAATCAGCATCTTCTTGGGTCTTGAATTCAATATCAACTACACCAAAGAATTCCTTGGTGGACCTGGTCTTGATTCGACGAATCGAACAAATGACTTTCTCCTTTGGTAAGTTAGGAATTATCTTAGTGTTGAAAAATTCTTCTAAGTCTTCTTGGGTAGTTTCGTTTGGGAACCCTTCAATATGCACGGAATTTCTCTTTCTGGTGTTCTTCAATTCGTTGAACTCTTTCAATGGATCCTTTCTTCTGACCATATCCTCTTTTGGGGAAAGCACCAACTTGTCTGATGTCTTCAAAGCAGCAATAACCTTCTCTTCGGGGCGATATTGTCTCATACGGCCAAAAGTTAAAATAGTCTTCAACTCAACCCATCCATCGTTGGCCTCATAAATACGCCATAAAAATTTATCTGTTTGCAAGTTACTATCAGAGAAATAAAATTCTACTTGCTTCTTGACTTTTTCTTCAAAGTCAGAGCCTTGGTAAACGAAATCAGTCATTCTGGGTTACTATTTCTCGTTTACTAACTATATATCTTCGTCCAGTTCCACAGAGCTCTCTTCAGATCAATGATGTCCACTCATCGGTTCGAACACGAAAAATGTTCTTCGATATGTGGCCCTGTAAAACAACCTTATAATCGTATAAAAGTCGTCGAACCTGTACATCCTTAACGATTTCCCTTCTATTATTACCTGATACAATGGATACAGTCTACAACCATTCCTTGGTAGTTGTAGACTCTACAAATTTTATTTAATATTTTATAGTCACCATCACCCCGAACATGATTGCAAAATAATTTTTGGTGGCCCAATGACAATATTCGACATAAGTACTATAAGACCGGAACTAAAAGTCTATGTTACATAAACCAACTTCCTTTCTCGTTTCACAGCCGTCAATTTCATTCAAACTATATGGCACTGGATTATAAGAATTTTCGTGTTCTAACCAACGACTTTATTCAGAAATGACTACACGACCAATCCTATATATTCCAAGATACAGTGGTATATGCTATACAAAAATTGTTGTTTATGTTAAGATACTTAGGGTTACGAATATCATCTACTTCTACGATAAGAACATTAAGAGTTAATATGTCTACATTTCCTCAACCTACCGAAGTTAGACAAGAAGAAATCAGCAGTGCTTATAATAAAATTTTAGAACAAGTTAGTAAACTTTCGGCTGAACATTCTAGTAAGCCTGTTCGTTTAGTGGCTGTTTCCAAATTGAAGCCATCTAGTGATATCATGGCGTTATATAATCATGGGGTACGTCACTTTGGAGAAAATTACGTTCAAGAGTTGATAGGGAAATCTCAAGAATTACCCAAGGACATCAAGTGGCATTTCATTGGTGGTTTACAGACAGGCAAGTGTAAAGATTTAAGTAAGGGAGTTGAAAATTTATATGCTGTGGAAGCAATTGATTCGTTAAAGAAATGCAAGAAATTAGAATCTTGTCGAAAGAATGCTGGGGGTAACAGCATTAATATTTACCTCCAAATAAACACTTCAGGCGAAGACCAAAAGTCAGGCTATTCTTTAGAAGTTCTTGATGAATTATATGAAACAGTGGAATTTCTTTTGGATTCAGAACAATGTACTCATTTAAAGATTCAAGGTCTTATGACTATCGGATCCTTCTCCGAGTCTATATCTGAAGACGAAAATGCAGATTTCAAAAGACTCTTGACTTTGAAACAAAAATTGGATGATAAATACAAACTTGATTTAGAGCTTAGCATGGGTATGAGTAATGATTTTAAGGAAGCAATAAAGCAAGGTAGTTCGAGCGTGAGAGTTGGTAGTTCCATATTTGGTGCTAGACCAACTAAGTCGTAAATTCAACATCAGTGTTACTTAACACAACTCATTGCATTATGCATTTAGAATATAAAATACTTATAATACTTATAATAATTATAGGACACATAAATAACATAGGGCAGAAAAAAAAGGTAATCAAGCTATTATATAATAAATAAAATACAAGCAAGTAAATCAGACATCAAATTAAAATCGTCGATTCTTCAATGCCATTTATCCATCTATTTTTTTTTTCTTAGTAACTTTTTAAGAGATGTCTTCTTTCTAGTCACATTACCGTTGGTAACATTTTCATCAACCTTTTGAGTAATATCTTTAGCAGTCTTTTGAGCATTCTTAACAAAACTATTCGAATTAGTCGTAGAAGATTCGAAAGTAGTATCAGCATTGGTGGTATCAGCATGGCTGATATCTGCTTCACTTGTGTCTGCGTCTGCGCTGGATTTAGCACCATTAGCTTGCACATTTCCAGGCTGGCCACCTTCTACTTCACCAACTTTAGAATCAGTGCCTTCAACTTGGGAAGCATTGTTTACAGTACTGGATGTCTTGGCATCTTTAGAGGTATCTAAATTGGTTTTGTTGTCTTCAACTTCTGAAGGATCAAAATGATCATTGTTATCCATAGTAGAATAGGTTTTGTTGCCTTTTGAATCCGTCGACTCGACTATAGAATCAGACTTATCCTTCACCGTTTCCAAAATCTTTTTCTCGTCGCCAGTGAGATTGGTAGCATGAGCGCCTTTTTCTCTCAAAATCCTTTCCTTTTCTTCCAATAGTCTCTTCTTTTCCTCAATTAAGCGTTGTTTAGCATCATCAGAAGCGCCAGCTGCTGCTTCAACAGAACGAGAACCAACAGCAGCGCCAGTTGCAGGTCCAGTTCCGGTACCATCATCAGCCCCGATATCAATACCAGAAGCTGTAGAATTTACATTGTTATCTCTGGCACCTCTTGATCCCGACGCAAACAGATCACTGCTTTGCTTTTTGTAAGAAGTCAGATAATTATTTGAGGAACCTGGAAGAGTTTCAACATTCCTCTGTTGAGTCGATGAAGAAATATTCTTACCCGAACTGCTGACAGATTTTTCATTAAAATCTTCAGCCTCGTCAACTTTAACGTTGGCAATTGGAATAGCGACCGCATCCTCTAAGGCACGCTCGGGACCAAAGTTGGACCATTCACCATCATCACCTGTAACAGCAGTTTGCTCAACCTTACTTGAATAGTAATCGTGTCTTATTTTAAGATCGTTTGCTCCGAAGTCATTCTTTCTTTCGATTTCACTCTTAAACAATTTAGAAATTTTAAATAATACAACCCAGAAAGCAAAGAACAAGTGCTCACTAAGAAAAACCAAGAGTATTAATGTTGTTCCAGAAATGTTAACACTAGCTTTATCTAAAGCAAATTGACCTAAAGTCTTAGGCGGTTGAGTACCATGATGATAAAACGCAGTAATAACTGGAGAGACAATTGATCCAACCCAAGTCAATGCAAATAAAGCGTGATTCCATGGGTGAATAGAGTCAACTCTGTGAGGAATTGGTGGCTTGAAATACTTTCCATTGGATAATTTAAACATATCCAACTTGAAGGTAATAATATTAAAAATAATACTAATAATAGGAGCTAACGACCAAACTGGACCAAAAATAATCAAATAACCGTACTGCAAGGCCAATCCTCTGAAGTCATCATTGACATTGTATTCAGGTAATTGGGTAGCAGTACGTACAATATCCAACCAAGACTTTTCAACTTCTCTATCATCAACCTTGTAATCAGGCGTACCCTGAATTTTGGTCTTGAAAAACATAATACCTTTCTGTAATACAATAGGTAAAACGTATTTCAACACAATTTGAATAACTTGATTTGTCACAATAAAATAGAAAAATTGAATATTTAATCTTTGTTGATTTATTTTGAAATCCTCTGATCTCTTCAAATTTGTTAAATACTTATGGTAGAATCTATCATGATTCAAATTTTTTGATATTGAATATTGAATATCACCGATATGTGGTTGAACTAAATGAGCAAAAGGCAAGTAAACAAAAGAAGTGATAATCAATGGACCGTAACTGGTCAAGAAATTTAAAATAAATTCCTTGACAATAACAGAATTATCACGGCTGTATTCATTGTCGTGGTTTTCCCACGCCAATACATGGTCGGTAACTATTCCATAGCCTATAGTTAAGATTGGCACGAAAACAGAAATCAAAATAGTAGGCAACAAAGTTAAAAATACCTTACCAGGGCCATCGTATATTTCTGCCAAAAAGATCTCGAGAGCAAAGCATCCTAACTGATACGCAACCAAAACACCGACAAACAATAAGGCAATTGGGATGAAGGCGAGTTGTTTAACAAACCTAACCCCAGAAGTATTACCCTTCTTCTCATAAGTGGATTTTTCTTCAAATTTTTCATTGATCTTGGCCAATGCAGAAGTGTGCTCTTCAATATGATGAGCGTTTTGGACTCCCCAGAAGTTAACCAAGTATTGTTGTCTTCTATTCCAGAAAGTAATAAACAAGCAACCCCAGATCAAATTAATAAAGGTGTACGTTAACAGGAAAGATTTCTTAGATTTGAAGTATGATACAAGCCCAAACACAGATAAATATCCTAACCATAAGGTGTAGAACTTTAAAAACTCGAAATATAAGGCAATTTGAACCCCGAATTTCTCCTTTATTGTGTTGGTACTGACATCGCCATTCGTGACGTCTGTCTGGAAGTCTTCAACAAAAGTAGACTGTCTCAATGAATCAGTAATAGGCGTAATACTCTGGACAAAACTCCAGTCTCCCTTTCCCACAGTGATACCAACTCCACCAATTGATGATGGAGCTGTCAATAAATTAGCAGTGATTCTCAATTTATCGGCTTGGGTGTCGTTTTTGGCAGTGACACCGTACTCGTAATTCTTGATCAAGTCCTTCTCTATTTCTTCTGCGTACTTGTACGACGCCAATTTCACGAATACTAACAAGTTCGACTGGCTGTCACCACTAGGTCTAACTTGGACATAGAATCCATTAGCACTCAACCCATTGACCAATTTTTCAACATTGGCCTTAGATTCTGCCTTAGTGGCCCCCGTTTTTGCATTTTCCACCTCAGACAATACCGATATGACAAAGTCTGGGTTCATTTGTTGAATAGGTATGTGAGTACTCATCTTCAACTTGGTTTCAATATGCTAATTGTGTTTTCTGAATCCATAAACACTTCCTATATATTCAGACTCTTAAGTGTTCCGTTGGTGGTTGGTGAAAGACTTGCTTGCTATGGTGAAATATGGTCGGACACTACTAATCGAATCTACCGAACAATGCAACAATACACCAAATTTCGTTGGCATATGACAGGCGAATACTCCTGATAGAAACTGAGTCAGTCGCGCCAAATGTAATGTTGCAGACGCCTAAAGCCTGTGAGATACATTCTGGCCCCTAATTACGTCTTGATTCCTCCGGACCATTTCACTTGAAGCTATCGGCACGGCTATACTATGACCTAGATATAGACGCAAATGTTAGAACCTTTTGTTCTAGGTGCTTCCATCTACGTAGTGCTTGTATTCGATAGACCACGCACGCATGACAATCATTGCAACCGTGTATCATTGTTACCGACTACAAATGTGGCATGGCTCAATCCAAAAACGTCATAAGGTCATACTATGTGCTTTTGTGTAAATTTTTGACAAATGTATAAAGGGACACCTTCGCGCCCTTGTTTTCCCCGTCTTTCGGCATTCTTTCATAGATGATTCTTTTTCTCAGATATGTCAGGGATTTATCAGGGAAAATATCTCAGATAAACAAATGATCAATATTGTTTAGGTATTAACTTTTTTGTACTAAAGGGTATGTTTTTAACTAACATCTAGTGTTTTTAGACCAAAGGAAGAAAACAAGAAACAGAAAAGATTCTAAAGGTATTCTCAGCCATGTGTGATGATTTTAATTTGATACAATGTTCCAATAGTTCTTATTAGGTGCGATTAGTTTTGTATTAATCCGTATTTTGTGATAAGTCCCCTATGTGTCCATTTATGAGTTAAAATGCGCAGGTTTTTGTATTCCAGTAAATGTGTTACGGGAGTAGTGATTGTCGGAGTAGTGATCTCCGAAGTAGTTCAGTAAATGATTTTTTTTGTGTGGTTGAAGAGTCCGTATTTGATGGCGAATAACCCTAGTAAATCTTTGAATGTCGATTGAGTATCGAAATGTTTGAAATATGAGAAAAGTCCCTAATTGTGAGGGTATTGAGTAAGTGTTCCAGAAGGCCTGTTGGTTGCCTCTTGTGTGGTTCATGCTTTTCTTTATATGTTTGTGATCTTGTTTGTGATCCTGTTTGTGCCCCTTGTTTTCCTATGTCGTGAGTTTGTCCAGAATGTCTTGTTCCGTGTATGATCGGTTGTCTAAATTTTTTGGTAAAGTTCCAGTGTTAATTTCAGTCTAAGTCAGTAATGTTTTTCATCATAACCTCTGATTTTGAAGTAAATATCTTGTGATCGGCGAGCGCCTACCAATTTGGTTGGAGAATTCGTATTAGTTTGTCTTCTCTATGGTTAGTATGTTAATCATTTACTTGACTGTGAAATCTTTAGAATTTGTTTCCTTTTTTTGGTCTAAGAATCCTAAGTGTTAGTTAAAAATAAATAGTTTTTAATACATTGATTGTTTTACATTTGTCAACAACGTATATTTCTTATTTTTCATCTAAGCTATATAAGATTACCATTCAATATAATTTCTTCCGATTACTCTGAAAACTCTCACTCTTCCACTCTTCATTTCGCTCATCTTATAAGTTTCTTTCTTAATGTGACCAGCATTGTCCAGTTCTATGACCTTGAACTTATCTTTCTTTGGGTCGTAGTCAGTAACCACCGCAGAAAACACTTCACTTCCGCCAACTGTAATTGATTTATTGCCTGTTAATCCTTTGTGAACACTAAATTTACCTTGCTTGATACATAATATATCGCCTGGTCTAATTTCTTCAATTCTGGCGATATTATGATTACTATTATTTCTGTAGATAGTTACACCATAAGTTTTGTTTCCAATTGGTGACAAAACATGAGCATCATTCTTCGCAAGGGAGCTGAAAACCTTACTCACAATACTCTCATTTAGTCTAGTCCCAACTAATGAGTTCGTAATCGACGTTATCTTGTTGCCGAACTCTCTGTATGATTTATCTAATAAATCTTTTCTAATAATCGGTATTGGTTTAGTAAAGTGGTTAATCAACTTGATAGTGGATCTAGGATCCTCACTTTCATATTCTAGTTCAAAAACTAGTTGCGAAAGATCGTTAAACAAAATATAATAGTCACGGTAATTGATTACTCTATTTCCTCTTTTAGTAATTGAGTTAGAATCAATTTCGTACATCAATTCGCTTCCAATCTTAGATTCTAATGATTCTGGCAAGTTTCCCTTCAACCACCAATTCGAATTACCATTGATGTTCCCAATCTCATATTCCAATTCGCTACAAGCAGCTTCTGCCTGAGTTTGTTCTTGATGCGATTTAGTTGATCTGGATCTGTTTAGGCCACCTGCATTAGATAAATCACTTGATTGGCGTTGATGAGATGGTCCAAATGACGAATTAGTTGGTGTCTTGGTTAACGATGCTGGAGACACCATCGTTGCATCTCCTATATCCGTACTTGCACGTTGGGGAGCACGCGAGGTATCAACTGGTGGGACTGGTGGAGGGTTGAATGATGGACGAGTATTTGGAATAGGAGGGGCAATGTCTGGCATTGTAGACGACCTGGTTGGGTTTCTCAGATGGAACGAAAACTCGTTTTCATCGTCATCATAATTATAATCATCAACATTAAACTGCTCATCAGCAGGTGCGATTTCATCGCCTTCGTCATCTTCAGGTATTGGGCCACCACCAGACGATGTATCCTTATTTAATGTAGGTGGAATATTTCCAGACGACGGAATTGGAGGTGGTGGCGCTCTTTGAGGTGATGAAGGAATTGGTGGTGGTGCCGACCTTTGAGGTGATGAAGGAATTGGCGGCGGTGCTGATCTTTCCGCACCAGCCGTAGGTATTGGAGGTGGTGCAGATCTTCCCGATGGATGTCCAGATGGAATTGGAGGTGGGGCTGCCCTCTCGGACGGATGTGAACTAGGCACCCGAGGGGTTTCCCCAAGGGTATCACCAGGACGTGATGATGGCATCAGTGGAACTGGGTCGGCCTTTTCTAAAGGTGTAGATGTTGGAATAGGAGGTGGTGGAGCATTCATTGGAATTGATGGCTCATCATTCGATTTAACAGAATGACTTCTCATTACAGATGGAATTTCCTCTGACTGGACCTTAGGTTTGTCAGATAAATCCTCATCAGCCTCATATCCAGTTGGCTCCGCTTCTAAAGTTGATTTTGATAACTTTATATCCTCTTCCGGCAGAAAGTTCTTGCGATCTATGTCAAAATTATCATCAGTTGGATTATCTACTCCCGGCACACTTGGTGCGGGTGGGGGAATCGCATTTACTGTGTCCGCATGCAATTGAGCTTCTCCAGCTTCTGGGAACTTACTGTCTGATTCAGTGAAATCATCTTCCTCTAGCATTGACGACGAATCAGGGATATGTGGCTTCGAGACAGATGGTCTATCCGTAGCATCGTCAAATTTTTCGTCATAAGATCCAATAGATTTACGCTTATCGCCGTCAGATCCAGAAACTAAATTCTTAGGTAAGGAATCTGGGTTCGCAAACGGCATAATTGGAACAGCCTGAGGTATCGAAGAATCATTCTCTGAGCTCTTCTCCATGGATGATCTTGGTTTCTCGTGGCTAATTTCCTTATCTTCATTAGCCGGTTCTTTCGTTTTCTTAGATGGTACTGCTCCAGTTTGTCCAAAAGGAGCTGGCATCCCCATCATTCCGAACATGTTTCTACCGCCCGATATTTTAGCCATACGTTCAACAAGTTTCTTTCTGCGCAATTCCTCATCGTCAGACTCTTCTTCCGCTTCATCTTCTTCATCAGCGTCTTCTCCTCTGGGAACCTCGGTTCTTAATCCTTCCTCAGAATCATCCCCCATATTTGATTCATGAATAGGTGCAGAAATATTGTGATCGTCTGCTTCAGGAATGTGTTCAGCATCATGACGTCTTTCTACATAAGAACCTCCAGTAGCCACGCTGTCAACAGATCTGCGGCCACCTCCAGTATGTATACTATCGACGGATCTCCTTCTATCTCCTGTAGCTACACTATCGATCGACCTTTTGCGACCTTCTGGACCCATCTCTTGTTGTGCTTGAGTCTCTGGAATATGTGCTGGAGCCAGTGCTTCAGCTTCTTTTCTTTGCTTCAATCTTTCTTTTTCTTCTGCTGCCTTAAGCTTTCTTTCTTCCTTCTTCTTTAATGCAGCAGTTTCCCGTTCAGCTTCTTCTTGCTGACGTTTTTGTAATAACGCTATACGTTCCTTTAAGCTTACTTTAGGCTCTTCCTCTTCCGGTGTCGCATCCTCAACATCGTTGTCGGTTCCCTTAACAATCTCATTTTCGTTAACAACATCGTGGCGGGCATGTCCAACGATATTATAATCGTGTCTTGGTTTCACAGGGGGAACATAAGACGACTTTCCCGATGCCAAAAACTGTTTCTTAATGCTATATGGGTCCTTGATCTTTTGGTTGGGGAAAACACCCGGCATCGATGGTTTTGGCGGACTTCTAGAGCTAGATTCCTGTTCAGCGTTCTCTTGTTTCGTATCTGAAGCTTTGACCGTGTTTTCAGACGATATTACGCCTTCAGCTTGCTTAGGGGTCGAATCGACCACAGATTGCTCCTTCGCATTTGGGCCCTTCGCCTCCGACGATGCAATTCCCTCAATACTTCCACTTTCTGTCTTAGCATCTCCCATATCAGTACCATCTACCTCAACGAAGTTCTTTGGAAACATACCACTCTTTCCATCGTATGTACCAGAGTACCATTCTTCATCTTCCACCTCTGTCACAGTGATCAATTGCCCCACAGGGAATGATAAATCATCCTCGTAATCCGATTTATACTCGAATATTGCCTTAACTTTAAATGGTGTTTTATGTTCTGTCATTATGTCGTCCTAAATCTGTATCAATTGAGCTATAGTCACACAATCAATATACAATTATAACCCTATCTATTATAACATTTCGATTCCACAAGCTCCGCCGGCGCAATAAAACCTATGAGGCGGTTTTGTGTCATTTCGTGTATTTGTTAGTATAAACAAAATATTTCAGTTGTTTCGATGGTATAAGCCGTTTAACACAGGACTAATGGTTTGAACATATATTAGAATGACAAGTTTGAGTAATGGACACAAATCGTCTTCTAGTTTAACCATTACTGACAAAGTTATAAAGTCTTTTGAGACGGCGAAGACGTTTAATTATCACAAAGGAGCGAGCATAACTTCATTAGATTTCGATGATTCGGGCCAATACCTAATTTCAGCAGGAATAGATAAATCAATTCAACTATACGACGTACACAAGGGTGTGCATCATAATGATATACAGTCGCAGAAGTATGGGGCACATTTGGCGAGGTTCACCCATTTAGAATTGAACTGTTTATATGCATCGACCCCAGCTGCAGATAAAAGCATCGATAATGCCATTCGATATCTTTCTTTGTCAAATAATCTGTACTTAAGGTATTTCAAGGGGCATAAAGATCAAGTTACATCGATTGAGGTGCATCCGGTGCTGGATCTTTTTTTGAGTGCAAGTTTGGATCGTACGGTCAAGTTATGGGACTTACGATCGACATCGCCGGTTGGAAACTTGGATGTGGGACAGCCCACAGTTGTAGCATTTGATCCCAGAGGGATTGTATTTTGTGTGGGCAAGTGTCCCTGTCCTTCGACAAGAGCAGGCGTGGGGGTTGTTGCGTTCTACGATACGGCCAATTTTGACAAGAAGCCATTTCTAGAGGTCGAGATACAGATCCTCGCAGGACAATCATGGAATAAACTAGAATTTTCCAATAATGGGAAGCTCTTGTTAATATCAACTGACTCGTACGAGCATTACGTGCTTGATGCATTTCTGGGCCATTTGTTGACTACTTTACAAATCGGACCTGATATCTCTCATACAGAATACAATGGAGATTGGATGACATTTAAGTATCCCTACTCCGGATCCGCGTCGTTCTCTTCATGTGGGAAGTTTGTACTTGTGGGGTCGCCACAGATGAATGTTCTGGCATTCGACCTCACTAATTTGAAACATACCGATGGTAATACTCGTTCAGTTTCTGATCTCGATAATCCAAAAACATTACGTCCATTTCAAACTTTATCTACAAACCAAGGCATTCCAAAAATCGTTGCATTTAATCAGAAATTATTAACTTTTGCCACTGCCGACTCAGTTGTGTCATTATGGCAGCCTAGGTTGCCTGATCCTATATAGTTCATCTCATGTATTATAATGAATAATTAATCACATACATTGTAAAATGCGCATTATAATATTGATAAACTTTTTTTGTCAACAATTACTCGGTTAATGTTAATGTTATTTTCGAAAGAAATATGAAGATAAGAGGATGTTCAATGGAAATCTTCAGGTTCAAGCATGATACAGTAGTTCGACAATTCTTATCAAATTCGTCAGAACCAGTAAAGTTTGTAAAGCCCAGTTCGCCGATGCCTCAGAGAACAGTGCCAGTTTTACCAAATAAGTATATAGAGGAAACAACTGGAGCATTCCAAGCTAACTTTAAAAACTGTAAAGGATTTGTGAAACATCGTTATAATGAAGAATACCCTCCAACTCATATACGAAATTGCTTGCCCGAAAAGCCTACTGACATTAAAGGAGTTGATCAAGTTGTGTACAAACATGTACAGAGAAAGCAAATACTAAGGAAATTACCCACATTAATGTCAAGCAAATTTTTCACATTGAAGTTCTTCCCTGATCTGCATCATATATCGTTGGCCAGAAAATCTAATATAGCATATACGTTCACAAATCGTGGGGGCTTTAATCTTAATGATCCTGTGCTTGCCAAATCTTTAACAGAATATAAGGGGAAGTATAAGAAGCTTGCATTCTTCCAAGAGAAACTATGTCCATTGGATACTGCGGTTGGTAGGGCAAAATATAGAAAATTCATAAAGCGATCACTATTCGAATCGTTGCATAAGTATGTAAAATCGGCGGAAGATTTGGATCAAGTAAGAGGAGTATTCTTTTTCAGGTTTACAATTGTTCCAGCTACAGAAAGCGATAGGCAACAGGTTATGACTGATCTTGATCTGGCATTAAATGTATTATTAAAGTCTAATCTGAATTATAAACTGCAGCTATTGAGTGTTGTAAAGGAACAGAACAAAGCCTTCAGGAATGGTCAAGTACTCGTTAAAGAAGTAAAAATGTACAATACAATAGGTGCCAGAAATGTTCCTGGCTACTACTCAAAGCTTCCGTATATAGACAACTTGAAAAAGTTATTATGATATTGTACATAGTTTAGTTTCATATATTACACCATGATGGAAAATTGGCTTCAAAGCAAAATGAATTGAAAGATTCAATAGCAGAATACTCGTATCGGAAAGCATGTAGCCAAATCCCACCTTCATCTATATTGATATCTGAATCAAATAGCGGGCGATTGCATTCATCGCAAGTCTTATTATACTGTTCTTTCATACCTTTTACCATCTCAGATCTCAGTTTTACCAATTGATGTACTTTTTTTTGCATTTCATCAGTCTCAATCCTTGAAAGCCTTACAACATCTACTTCTGTTTCATCGTGAGAAATGTTATGCGGTTGGCGTTCTTTAAAGGAAGGGAAATCAAGATAGATATTTTCGTACATTTCTAACTCAATTTTATTTCTTAATCGTTGAATGTGCAGTCTTCTTGAATCTCCCTGTGGATTGTACTCATAATCGTTCACTATAGGGTGACCCGTATTTCTCAAGTGTATCCTTATTTGATGCATTCTACCTGTTATGGGTTTGCATAATACAATACTTTGGTTTAGCTCTTTGTTATAGTTCAATCTTCTAAAGACTGTTGTTGAATTCTTGGGAATATTTCTAGAATTCGACGGCATAATATACCCACCAGACGTATTCACTAGAAATATAGGACAGTTCGTAACAAATTCATCTTTTGGAAACTCTCCCATTACTCTAGCGACGTACTGCTTCGAAATTCTATCTCTTTCGTTATTAATTATGTTCAGGTATTTTTGACCTCCTTGCTTATTTCTCCCTAATATCAAAATTCCAGAAGTAACCTTATCTAACCTATGACAAGGCCATACATTCTCTAAATTTAAATCATGCTTTACTAACTCAGTGATTGAATTATATCTATAATTACCTTTAGGATGGGTTGGAATCCCTGCTGGTTTATCTATTACAAGTATCTCATCATTCTCAAATATTATGCTAAGTTCTGTTAAATCTTGACTAGTGCATTTACTAGATTTCTTCACCAATTCAAGGCCTTGCGCAACACTAGGCTCATGAATATGCTTCGAATTATATATTAAATCATGAGATTGTATTTTCCTTTCTACTAGGTTTTCCCAGCCTTTAATTGCGATTGGTCCTCCTTTCATTCCTTGATTACTCAATATATATATTATCTGATTGGTAATTTCCTTCTTGGTTATATCACCTTCTTGTCCCAATTCTGTAGTGAATACTTCATACACTGTCTTACCTATCCATCTTGACTTAACATGTGTCTTATAAGTGAAGTAATACGGCTTTACTTTGCGTAACCCATTCTCGAAATAGTAGATCGGTGATATTGACATCAATTTTCCAAGCCAGTCTGGATATTGACAGAGCTACATTTTTTAATGAGCTCGCAAAAAAATTCAAATAACATATGATGATTAAATTAGAAATACGATGCACTCTATTACTGTATATATGGTAATATTTAATACAATACATGGAGGTATAAAATCTCAAAAGCCAAACGAACGTAAAACCAAGCAACTAACTTAAATAATGGTATTTTGAAATAGAGAATTGAAGATTAACCAGAAACAATGCCGACGATTCTTTATGAAGTCAGACAACTATTTTAATAAATAAAAAAAAAAATTTTAGCAGAATAAAGGAGACCAAGGCGCTTGCTGGGGTCTAGCTCTATGGGCTTTTACCATTTGATGATATATATCTTTAATTCTCTAACACATTTGCCTTATTATGACCAATGACGTTACCAGCAGGATCGTATGAACAAATAATGTATAAACCCCAGTTTTCTGAAGAACAATCTTTGTAAGCACAGCCAAGCTTAGTTGTGTCTTTCCAAACCAATTGAGTGAAATGGTTGTATTCATTTGCAGTAGAGTAATCATAAGATTGGCCTTCTTCGTACCAAGCTTTAACAGCAGAAGGGCCGTCCTTGTAACCACAGGCAAGGTTTTCACCGAACTGACCATGTGTATGGGTCAAAACACCAGAACAATCGTAATTGTCTGCAACTTTCTTCGCGTAGTTATAAGCGTCGGTGTCCCATGATAATGGTTGTGCCAGGTGTTTTGCTCTGTCCGTGTTATGGGCATCTAATATTTCCTTAGCAAAGGTCTTGTCAACACCTGGGGAGTCAGAAATTTGGTCATAAATACCAGATGACGAGCCGGAAGTAGAGGTACTAGATGAACCGGACGATGAAATGGTTGATGTTGATAAGGTGGATGGATTGTAAGTGGAAGAACTGCCAGAGCCTGATCCTGATCCCGATCCAGAGCCTGATCCTGATCCCGATCCAGAGCCTGATCCTGATCCTGAGTCTGATCCAGAGTCTGATCCACCCAAAAGGTTATCTAAAAATCCTAATCCGGAAGATCCAGTAGAAGCACTAGTGGCAAGATTGGCTGATGTGGAGGATGGCGCATTTGTGGAAGCACCCGAAGATCCACTCGAAGATCCGGAATCGTCTCCAAACATTTTACTGAGCCATTGCTTCATCTTTCCACTTCCTCCCGAGAGCAAAGAGTCCAAGTTGAACTTGCTTCCGGATGAACTTGAACCTGAATTAGTACCAGCAGCTGATGTAGGTGTTGATGCAGCTGCACTAGTAGAAACAGCTGCCACCGTTGCCTGTGTAGCTTCCTGGTCATAAATAGACCCATCCGTATTAACAACTTGTGTTGCAGTTTGCCACACCGTCAAAACCTGTGGCGCTGGGGCAGCGGCAACCATATTGGTAGCAGATAATATAGCCAAAGCTGTTGATAATGTAGTTACTTTCATATTTGTATTCTAATGCAATAATTTATCTTATGTTTAACAATTCACTATGGCCTGCAGAACACTGAACATTTTGAAAGAATTCGTTTGACTAGAAATCCTTAGGTTAAATATGGATTTCGTTACGATTTCTCCCCACAATGGCTAATGATCCAAATGTTTATCCTTTTTGTCTCAAGCCTCTACGTATTTTACTGATTTAGTACATTATATCAGCTGCAAAATCTTCGTTCTCGTTATAGAAGCTTAACAAGACGCATAAAGAGGAGATTGCACTATAAATGCATCCTAATTAGGAAATTTATTTCATTCCAATTAATACCCAAATCGGTAAGTCGCACTAAATAGGAAATGTAATTGTAAACATATGCTATTTCAGACTACTAATGATTGTTACATCATTCTATTCATTTGTCGATTCGAACGCCTGGTAATGGATACAGAAACCGGTTACATCTAGAAGCGAAAAAGATGACGTCTAAGGCTTCGTATTGCAATTATTCTACTCCCATGCACAAACTGTGAGTACACTGATGACTGGAATATGGGACAAAGTATGCCTATAACATGATATGTCTAGATTCCTTAGCCTGGTTCAGATGCTTGTGAACATTACATTTACTTCAGTGGAGACATGTAAATAAACATGAAAATTGTTTTCGTACTTGGATTTAAGTATTTGAAAATTTCCGCATAAGTACATTGGAGCAGCATGACTACCGGATTAGGAAATTTTAGAATGTGAAGGAGGTAAAAATTTATCAAAAGCCTATTCTTGCTAATTGTTAGAAGAAATATCGGAAAATATTCTCGAATTTAAGGTGCCGTAGAAGAGAAGGGATGTTACAGAACAGCAGTTAGAAGAAATTTCTTGTTACGATTGAAAGAAAATTTTTTTTAAATTTGCATTTTCTGAGAAATGTGCATCGAAAGTGATTAGTTGGAAACGTTTATCCAAAACAAGAAAAGTAAAGTGGTTTTAAGTACGGGGAAGAATTGAAAGAAGCTTAAACAAATAGAAACATGTTAGAGTATAATATAGAGATGGGGTATAATCCTATAATTTCATATGTATTTATGTATGCTATGTACTTTGGTAAACTACCATGCACTAAAACTTGCCTTCCATGATTTCCTTCATGGCTGAAGTTATGATCTCGGGGATACCGCCCCCAGTACACCTCACCACGACCTCAAATTCCCTGCCGATCGCATCGATGCTTTTGATTGTAGTCAACACACCATATTTAGATTTCTGTGTGTGCAAAATACCCGCCCCCATCACTAATATACCCTGGTCACTATCATCATTAGTATTGTAGACGACTGCAAACCCCAACCTGGACAATAATCTCACAACGTTAGTCGAATTATATCTGTGCGACGTCAAGATCTTTGCGGTAGATTCACCTTGCTCAACACCCAATAGCTCGCCAATTTGCAACCATCTCTTCTTGAAATCATCGAGATCTGCCATGGCTGTAGAGGACACAGTTTTCAATAGTATAACTGGGAATTTTAAATTTAACTGGTTGAACGAGCCGCCACACATAAATGTTAGGGATAAAATAGGACTTTCATTGTTCTCAACCACATTCCGAATTTTGATATCTATTTCCATAGTTGTTTTATCAGACACGGTCAGTTTTGGCAACTGCTTCAAGTTCAAGATGTAATTGGGGTCTTCCGGTTTGGTCAAACTTTCGATATTTAACACTCTTAAATTAGTGATATCCACCCCAGTTGTCTTGGCACAGTTATTGATAATAGTAAATTGTAGTCCCAATTGGTGACCGTCTTTGATGATTCTGTATATTATTTTAATGAATTGACTTTCATAAAAGATACCAGCATCATAATGACACATACGGTGATATCCGCTATACCAATTGGGAGACAACACACGCAGTTGATTAGTATCGTCGTCTCCAAATGGATTTGCTTCCTCCTTACTATCCTCAGAAATATCATCGTCTTCTTCTTTAGTGGTTGGTAAGGCAACACTAGAGGTAGATGGATAATGATTGTAAAGCTGTCTGGTTGCAAGATGCTCTGAGCTGTTATTGGCTAAAGATAATCGGTTGCTGGCCACGGTACCATTATTCCCATTATTGATTTTCAGAGCATTGACAAATGATGTCGACCTGTTCCTATTACTGGCAATTTTTTGAACACTGCCAATCCTCGACATTAAAGCACTAGTCTTTCTTTCAAAAATTGGTAAAGGCCTAACCGCAGCAAGTGCTAGGTTCCGATTATCCGCATTAGTTGCCAATTTGAGATATTCGTATGCTCTGGTTTGAAGCTCAATATCAATAGATTGAGTCTCTGCATCAAAGAGATCCACGATATCGGCCGCAAAATCCTCTTTCGGGAATTTGACAAAAAACTTGAAGAAGGTAGTTAACAACATTGCTCTCACGACCAAGGAAACGCGGAAATATGCTTCATATAATAATTGGTATTGAATAGACGGTAAGTACTGCTCAGGGGACCCAGTTGGGTCATGATCAGTTTCTTCATCTTCTCCGGCTATCTGTCCAAATTCACCTAAAATAAAAGCTGCTACTTTAATGAGATTTTCCAGAACCGTATTTATAACTGGCTGTGATTTGGTGTGTCCATTCGCTTGTAAAGGATCTTGCAATAGTTCGATAATAAGCTTGCATGACTTCAGTTGTAAACTTTCATTATTCACAATAATTTGAACGATTCTTTCCCAGACTTCATTGCTGATATAACTCGTACCATTAGAATTTCCACCACCAATAGATAATAATTTTAACATGGTAGTTACATACCACGTAGAGTCAGTTGCAAATCTTTCAGCTAGAACTGCAATTTTTATCGCAATTTCCGATCTTAAAGTAAAGTCAGAATAAGGAAAATAGTGAAGTAACTTGGTGATAACCGTCTCATATGTTTGCGGGTTACAAACGGTATATAATAAATCGAGAGATTTTCGTCTAACAGAAATGTCTTTGTCCGTTAATAATTCGAATAATTTTAACAAATGCTGATCGAATCTTTGTGTTATTGAATGATTGGTATTGTCGGGACTTGCTCTTGCTGATAGTTTGATTAGCGCGTCCAATGCTAAGTACCTGGTATTAGTTTCATTTGAGTCTAATAATAGTATAGACGCATTAATAGCTCCAGCTATGGCATCAGGTGAAGCATCAAGAAATACTGCAAGCGATACTGCTTGAAATAAGATGGCACTTTGAGAATTCCTATTAGGAAGGCCCTTTATTTGCTTCGATGCGTTGTGTATAGATCTCGATACTACCTGTCGCAAATTATTTAATGTTTCAGGATCTAGATCCGTAACTTGTAATACTGGAATTTGGTAATTATTGTGATCTTCTGTTGTCAAAAGGAAGAAATGCTCCACCACTTGGAGTAATTTGATGATTAGCCACGGTGCTGGGATATTATAGTAGAAATACGTGTCCGGACAGTTATTTCCTATAACTAATCCATATAATCGTTGGGATATAGTGGGTACTACCGACTTTACAAACTGCGGTTTAATAGTGATCAAGAACTTGACTAATGGAATACAAGAGGTGACAACACCAATATCTTTGTCATCGACCAACGTCAACAACCGCGGTATCCAGTTACTGTTACTTAGTATGACCTGGGGATACAATTTGAGAAGCGACAAAAGCCCCAAAGCCGCCTTTTTCTTGATGAGAGCACTTTGGATAGGCGAACAACTCAACGAATACACTATATCGATCAACTCTAGCCACTCTTTGGCCATTTCATCCGATTCTTTCACCACCGGATCGCTCAAGAAATCGCCATCATAGAAAACATTGAACTTCGAAGCAATGAATTGAATCGCGGTACAATTGGCATCTTCATTATTTGACTGCAAATCTCTCACAAGAGCCCCATGCATCATCTCCATCAAGTCGTTCATATACTCCTTTACCAGCTGGCTTGCCTCTCGATTGATGAGCACCGAAATTGCCAAGTATCCTACTTGCTTCTCTGAAAAATGCTTCGACCCAATCAACTGCAATGCCTCTCCCAACCCCAATTCCTTAGCATCGTTAAAACCCAACATGTATATATACATAAGTTTGCAAATATACTTTTTTCTCTGATACCCATTTAGCGACTGTGGTGATCGGAATTTTTGTTGAATGTTGTTCATCTCTAGGTTGATCCGCTTATTTTCTTCCTCCAAGTCCTTGGTATTGCGCAAATCCAAGAAGAATTGGGACAACCCTTTCATTTGTGTCTGCATTGTGATTGAACTCTCCGAGTATGTATTCCCTCGTTTATGCGACCTATATTTATACGGTTATTGCTATGATACTATTTCAAGCGTCTATCTAGCTCCAGCTATTCTCTTAGTACGGTTTTTGGCGCGTATGATCCGAGAAGCGTTTTGTGACATGTCGTTCATTTCTCGAACAATGTCGTGTGTGCGAATCTATGTCGTGGGGCTCAAATGCCGTGTCGCATTTTGAAAATAAATGTCGTGTTACACAAAACTCTTGGGAAATTTTCACTTAGTCGTGTAATTCACAACGTTTTATTTCTCGTTTTCATTGGTTCGACCGATTCTATCGGCCTACGTTACGGAAAACACTAGTATTGTTGATATTGAAAGACTCAGTAATTCAATTACGTAGAATTTAAGGCAAATAAATAAGTAAAGAATGTCATCAGTTGCAAAGAGTGCTACCACCAAGGTAAACTGGGCCAAGATCACTTCCACTTTAGGTTTAACCGGAAACACAGCATCCTCATTAACCGCTTTCAAGAAGAGAAATGAAGAAGCTAGAAAGGAAAACTTAAGTTTGTCACAACAATCAACCGAAGTTGACTTCAACCACTATAGATCTGTTTTAAGCAACAGCAAGGTTATTGACGAGATCGAAAAGACCGTTAGTGCATTCAATCCAGTCACCTACGATGTTTCCAAGACCTTAAAGACCATTGACATGTTTGAACAAAAGGCCGTTGAAAACGCCAAATTGACC